TTGTGTAGTATATAACTTCTACTTATGTTTTTTTCCTCTTTTCTCCCCCCAGGGATGAATTGTAAAAGCAACATCAGCTTGATCAGTCTGTAATATTACAGTGGATTGCTCATCTCAGTCCTCAAAGCTTTTTGAAAACCAACACCATCACAGCTTGTTTTGGACTTTGTTACACTATTATTTTCAGCATGAAAATGTGTGGTTTTTTAGGGTTTCTAATTCTTCAAAGAGGCACAGAGCCAAATTGCTAGATGAAGGATACAAAGTATAAAGTTGTGAATTATTACTTTAACATGCCCACAGTTTACTTTGAAATATTAAAGGAAACAGTTCTGCAAAATGGAAAACTTAGTTTGCAAATTGATTTTGAGGAGTGGTTTTTCTTTTCTTGGACACTTAATTCTGTTCTGATATTAATTTATCAGATTGCTTTTGTGCATTTGATAACGCCACCATTCACAAGTTAAGAGTTTTGGTATTTGGATGTCTGTTAAATGCTACTAAGAAAATAGAGATGAGCTTTCTTTTTAAAGCTTTTGATGTGATGTCATAGAATAGCATGTTGTAGATACAATCAGCTGCTTTGTTACCTTAAAACTCAGCATTTGTAAATATTAAACCTTAAGATGGCAGGTGATGTCCTGTAAACACTCAGCTGTTCAGATTGGACATAACTGAAGTAGTTCTTCCTCTCTCTCTCTCAAAATTATAGGAGAATTGTAGCTTAGTGGGGTTTTTTGTTTGTTTGTTTCTAATTTGCTGCTGGTAATGTATATGAATTTAACATGCTGTGTAAGCTGTGTCCTAGTTACTGAACAGTTTATGCAGTGCTGCTTTGCCAAATAAAGTTTAAAGTAAAAGAGGCATCATTGGTGGTGTTTGAATATAGAACAAAGAACCGCATGTCCTCCAGATACAAAATGCCAAGATCACAGAGAAAAAATTATTTCTCTAAAGTTCCCTTTTGTGAAATCTAAGTAAGTAAATAGCATTAATCCAACTGTGCATTGTAGAATGCGATTACTTTGCTTCAGGGCAGGACCATACTTGAATCATCATTTCTCTCTGCTACCTAGCACAAGGCTTTCCTGTAGTAGATGTATAATAAATGCGGAATGAGTGAATGGGTGAATGAATTGACTTCATGTCAGGAAAGAACAAGGTTGAGGAATATACCAAAACCTGTCTCTCACTTATAAATAGATGTATTAATATAATGACTGTACATGAATTTCTAAGAAGGCAGTAGCATTTAGGGATCTTGTTGTGTCGTGGTCTTATACCTTTTATAATAGTTTTTCTAAGGGTTCTAAAACTTGAGGAAATAGAGGCTCTAGAATGAGCAGAAGCAGCACTCTCAATAGAGCCTTTCTGGTGCATGCAAGTGTGCATAAATCTGCCAGGGAGATCCTTAGCATGGGAGACACTCCCTTGCCTCCCAGCTTTTAAAAGTCTTAAACATTACTTCTTTTAAATGGCTTTAAAAAATTATGCATACATTTTCACAATTGTCTCTTCTTGGGTATAACGTATTAGACACAGGAAACTAGCATTATTGCTGGCTTTATTTGCTGCTGGTGTTGATTGCCTCTGGACCCAAGCCTTGAACCCTCGCAGTCCAGAACTCAGTGTCATTTGAGGTAGACACAAAGGTCAAATATTTCAAATATTCTTTAGGACTTTAATTTTTAAACTTGTCCACTAGTCTGTGTCTTTCATAGATATTACCTACATTTTACTATATGTAAATCTCTATGTTAGGTTTTGGGGATAGAGAAAGGCCCATACTCTAAAGTAGTTTGCAATCTAGTTGAGGAGACAGTTTATAAATATGATAAGACAAACTTAAGTGCCACGTGAATAGTACAGACAAATGCTATGCCTTAAGTCTTGTTAAAGCATTGCTCTTTATACTTTTATCAATTAAACTTTTAGAATGTTGAATAAATAGGAATGGATTTTAAGGGAACATTAATAAATGGGTAGAAATGCAAATAAAGGATTTTAGCTAGGTCCAAGAGTTTTTCTCTTCAAAGAGTTAAATTTACGTATGTGTGTAGGTCAGAGATAAGAAATGTCTTTTTTTAATTAATTAATTAATTTGTGCATGCATGCATGCCAGGATCTTACTCTGTTACCCAGGCTAGAGTGCAGTGGTATCATCATAGCTCACTGCAACCTCCAACTCTTGAGCTCAGTGATCCTCCTGCCTCAGCCTCCTGAGAGCTGGGACTACGGGTGTGCTACCACACCTGGCTAATTTTTATATATATATATTTTATGGAGACTGGGTCTCACTATTTTGCCCATGTTGGTCCTCAACTTCTGGCCTCAGGTGATCCTTCCACCTTGGCTTCCTAAAGTGCTAGGATTATAGGCGGGAGCCACCCTGCTTGGCCAGAAAACATTTTTACATATTAATAAAAGTCCCCATACTCACCACAATTTTTCCTAATACTTTTTTGTAAAAGTTAAAATTATTTTTGTATTAAAATTTGTTTTGAGAAATTTCCTAAGTTTTGAAATAACCTTATAAAATTATTTTTACATTGAATAATATTATAAGTTGATCTCTTTCCAATTTGTAGTGTGATGACATTAAAGAAAAAACTAATGTGATTTGAGAATTAAGTAGGCATGAAGACATGCTTAGGGCTGGGCGAGGTGGCTCACGCCTGAAATCCTAGCACTCTGGGAGGCTGAGGCGGGCAGATTGCTCAAGGTCAGGAGTTCAAAACCAGCCTGAGCAAGACCCTGTCTCTACTATAAGTAAAAAGAAATTAATTGGCCAACTAAAATATATATAGAAAAAATTAGCTGGGCATGGTGGTGCCTGCCTGTACTCCCAGCTACTCAGGAGGCTGAGGCAGTAGGATTGCTTGAGCCCAGGAGTTGGAGGTTGCTGTGAGCTAGGCTGATGCCACGGCACTCACTCTAGCCTGGGCAACAAAGTGAGACTCTGTCTCAAAAAGAAATAAAATAAAATAAAGACATGTTTAGACCTAAATAAAGCAAATATAGGAGAAAGCTCAGTTCTAACCACTCAATCTATTCCTGAAAACATTCAGCTCTGGGAGGTCTTATTTTTGTCCTTGGTGGTTTCCTGTTTAATCATTAAGGTAGCTGTAACTTAAAATAATTCACTTTTATCTTTAGAATACTAGAATTTAATAGGGCAAAAGAGCTGGGAAAAGGGGGCCAGGAATTGAGAAGTCTGCAACACAGGTGCTTAAAAAGCCAGCGAGATGACTTAATAGCAAACTGCAAACTAAGCTTTTCCTTCTTTATATTCAGCTTGGGCAGTTATTAGTTAGAAATTCTCATTCAATTTTACAGAACCTGGAGTCTAGTAAACAAATGATTGAAGTAGTTCTGCTAAGAGCAAAGTGGCATAAATTCCTTAACACAAACCAAACACGAGAGAGTTTTGGAACAATATTAACAGCAACCCCAAATTACAGAATCCGAGGCTCAGATGCTGTGTTAAGCATCATCAATGATGTTGAGGGCACGTCTGAAGGCAAGGACAGCGCCTGCGTTCTGGGCACAGCACACTGTAATACGTTTACATAGTGACATCCAGTTAAAGTCATCAGCAAGGTCAGCCTTGAACAGCAAAGCCGAAAGCAAATAGAAATATGCATCTTTATGTTGGGTGGAGGGAAAATACAGTAAACAGCAACAAGAACAGCCATCAGAGACTGAAAGAAGGTGTTGGTAAGTGTAATAGGGAACTGTGGGTCCAAATCACAAATTTTGAAAACTCAGTAAGAGAAAGATGAAAAAAATTAGTTGATTTCCTATGGAAGAGAACATACTTGGTACTCAGTTGATTTGAAACATTAAAATGCTTGTGGAAGGCTGGAAGAGTAGCTATTATTTACTGAGAATGAAAGGAAAAAGCAAGTTGTTTTTTTTTTGAGACAGAGTCTCCCTTTGTTGTCCAGGCTAGAGTGAGTGCCGTGGCGTCAGCCTAGCTCACAGCAACCTCAAACTCCTGGGCTCAAGCCATCCTCCTGCCTCAGCCTCCCGAGTAGCTGGGACTACAGGCATGCGCCACCATGCCCGGCTAATTTTTTCTATATATATTAGTTGGCCAATTAATTTCTATTTATAGTAGAGACGGGGTCTCCCTCTTGCTCAGGCTGGTTTTGAACTCCTGACCTTGAGCAATCCGCACGCCTCGGCCTCCCAGAGAGCTAGGATTACAGGCGTGAGCCACCGCGCCCGGCCAGGAAAAAGCAAGTTTAAGTGTTCAGGAAGATGAAAGGAAAAAGTAAGTTTAAGTGTTCAGAAAGATGGTTTAAGTGGGCCTTTTCTTAGGAAAAGAGATGTAAAACACAACATGTTTGAGAGAGAAATTGTGGACACCTTTCCCCTTAAAATTATTTTTAACCACTCCGGTACGGCGCTCACCAGCCATGAACCCTTGCCCACAGCCGGCACTCACAGTCCGCACGGTAGCGTGTGCTGTGCGTTGACGACGAGTCCGTTTTGCTCTTGTGTGATGAGGAAAGCTTTAAAGCACTGAAAGCTTGTTTTACTTTACAGGCAGCTTTACTTGTAATGTAAATTAGAATAGGTAACATACATGTTTTCATTATGTTATTTTTAAATGTTCACAATTTTATTTTGATAAATGAAAAAGTAGAAAAGTCATACCACAGCTGTCAGCTAAAGTCGTTTTGCGGATTCATCTGTGGCTATCGACTATAGTCGATGCTCCTACTGAAGTGGTTAATTGTCTTAGATGCAGAACTCCTTTAATCAGGTAATCACAGGTGAGATAACTTTTAAAAGTCCCATTCAGTCCATCTGGTAATATATTTTGTAGACTTTCATTCTCCTTCCCTCCAATATACTTTTTATGGCCTTAAGCAAGTCACTTCTCTCTAATCCTCTATTTCCTTTGTCAGGTTGATATGGTTAAATTCAAATAATGTAATAACAGCTCAGTCAATATTAGCAACTTATGATTATATTAAAAGGTAAAGAAAAGCTTAAGAATAAAATACAGTTTATTAAAGGAATATTGTTTACATAGATACAGGACATAATTTCTTAAGTATTTCAACACCATAGCAACACTAAATTGTGTTTATTTTTTTTATGTATAAAAGATGTGCTGAAAGATGCATGCCTCATCAGTTTTTATGTTATTGGGTATGGCTATAGGTAACGTCTTTCTATATAAAAACAAACTGCACAGCATCATATATAAACATCTTAAGTTCATTTACATAGTTCATTTCTCTAAACTGCCCTCAAGAAATCTAAATCTTTGCTCAATTCTAAACATTCAACAAAATGCTTGAGTTTCTCATGAAACAAAAATAATACCCAATTTCTTCTTTTTTTAGAACTTTCCATCTGTTAATGTATTTTGATATGTTATATCCTTTACTTAAACGTAAGCCCTCTGCTAAAGGAACAACCTACCTTAGGTTCAGTCTAAAGTATACTAGACTCTAGGGTGTGTTTTCAAGTATTTTAAAAGATTTGCCACTTATTGTGAAAAAATACATAAATAGGAACATCATGTGAGTATAGACAGGCACCATACTATATATTCCTCTCAGAAGAATCATTTCTAGAATGTGTATAATCACAGCATTAAGTGATGATTAGAATAATTTGCTTTTAAAAAGCCTACAAATGAAGAGGGGAAAGATGCTAAGCTAGATCCCGATTTTCTGTAAAGATGAATTTGTGAAAAAGTGCTTTATGCTCTAGAAATACATAAGCGTGGCATTAGCTAATGGCACATTATTACATGTGTAATGGCACATTATTACATGCTATAAAATTAATGAGAAAATAATTAAGCATTAAAAATAATGAGAAAAACTGGCTTTCCTATCACACTTCATGACCATCTTAGAGCTGTTTGTAATCCAAAGTCTGGGTTTTTTTCTCCCAACGATTAGCCTAAGGAGGCAGCCACCTACATGACATGATGTCAGAGGCACTAGGAAGAACCCACATTCATCCCCTGAGGTTCCATGACCTGTTCCTAGGTTTATAATTTAGATACACCTGCCATAGGTAACATCTCATTGAAGGTATCAAGTCACTTGACATCATTCTCAGAAACAGGTTTTGAAGGGGAAAGTAGAAGGAGAGCAGGGGGAGCTTAAAGGACAAAGGACAGGGCCACAGAACAGGGGTGCTTACCCACAGCGGTCCAGCGCTGCCAGGGGCTTCTAAAACGTGAAGGGTTAATTAATGCTGCCATCCTAAGACCACCTCTTGAGATACTGAATTTTCTGCCTCAGCTAAGTACAAATTTCTATTATCAGGGACAACTTATGTAAATTAGAATTTTAAAAGTCTTTAATCATATTAATTCCGCTCTAAATTTCAAAAGATTTCATACTGTCTACGGAAAACCTTTCTATAATAAATATAAAGACAAGATTTGGCATTTGCAGAATCTTCTAGCCCATTTAAAAACAAAAGAAGTTGTAAATACCCAGAACATAATATATGTATAAATTATACGTGAAACACATCTTTGCTCCAAAGCTATTTAAATTACATTTATTATAGATACATCCCATTTATGAGGTAGTCCGATTCCTCAGATGTAATGGGACGAGCTTTTTTAAGTTTCTGTTTCACCAGTCGTAGTCTGCAAGCAACCATGAGAAGCAGCAAAGCAGTGATAGCCAAACCCAATGCCAGGGGTAGCACTGCACCTGCGAAAAGATTAGAAATGAAGAGGGTAAGACAGTAATTATTAACAATGACAGCTACTATGTACTATACGATAAGCACTTTGCAAGCACTATTTAATCTGAACAACTCAACTAAATTGGTACTGGTACTACTACCATTTTGCAGACTAAAGTGCAGAGAGGTTATGTAATTTGCCTAGGAGTGCATAGCTTGTAAGTTGTGGGTTTAGGTCTCAAACCAGACCTGTTTAAAACCAAGTTCTGTACCAGCTTCCCACAAAGTTTGTATGCCATCAGTGGGTATAAATGTTGCAGTCAGATCACTCTCTTACATAATAGACATTCTGACCATAAGAAATTTTTTCATTGTAGTCATAGATTACATTTATGGATTCATAAATGATCATTCTCTCTTAAAATACGTATGGACTAACTCCTGATTTTTTTTTTTTTGTTTTTTTTATGATATGACAATCACATAGGCAAAACTCCTGATTTCTTGTTCTGGTTGGTGCTTAAGAAATTTCTTTTCTTTTCTAAATCCAGGGAACCTACTCTCAACCAGTAGAACCTTTGTTGAAAGCTAATTGCAAAATATGCTGGTACAATTTTGGCCAAGGATCATTAAGAAAAACATCTCTTTAGTTTTTTCTGTATGGCTGGTTACAGACACCAGACTAGAACTGTTAAAGGCTTGCAGGAGTCTGGAAGGGACAGGGTGTGCCCAGAGCAGTCTTTCTTATCAAGTTCAGCAGGCTCTATTTTTAATATGATCTACGCTGTAGTCCGGCCAGGATTGGAGATGATATGGTGGAACTATTTTTAACTGCAGGAGTCTTGCCAACTGGTGGAACTAGAGGTGAAACATCTCCATTGTGTAAGCTCATTCTATAATACATTTTCTTTAATTTATTCATTCATTCTGCATTAATTAAGAGCCTTCCATGTGCCAGATGCTGAGCTAAGTGCTGGTAATCAAATAAGCAATTTTTATTTGTAAACAAATAAATAGCCCCTCCAAAAGATAAGCTAATGCTAAAAGTGCCAGCTTTATTGTTTAACACATTGACTGCCACACTAGAAAAAACAAAATTTCCCTGGGGCCATGGTGTTTTATTAAAACAAAATGATCCTTTCTAATGTGTTATTTTTTATTTTGTGTGTATGAGTTTTATGCAATGCAACCCACATTTTTAGAATTGTCAACATTAAAATTGACAATCTTATTAACAATAAGAAAACATCAACAATTAAGATTTTCACAAACCACTGCAGGGTTTTGCTTCACGAGGCCCTGGTCTCAAAACTAGCCTGAGTTAAATACAATTCCTGTGGCAGTCAATGTGCTAAATCATTGAATTCTCATAAACACCAAATGAGGTGGTACTATTATCTGCCCCATTTTACAAATGAGGGAACTAAGGCATCGAGACTTAAGTGGCTTGTCTCAGATGTATTGTATGTGGTAGAGCTGGTATACGACCCCAGCCAGGACAGCTCCAGAGCCTGAAGTCTTAACCACTATGAGAAACTACTTCTCCAAAAGGTACATGAGACAGTTTTTTTTTTTTTTTTTTTTGACATACAAGACATTCTCGTGCAATATGAGACAGTTTTGAATGACTTTATGTCTGGGTAGATAGGCATTTAAATGGAAAAAAAAATGCAACAAAGTGTTATACTATGACAAAACTATATATGAAGTACAGAAGTAAAAAGCAGTCCATCTGGTCTGTAAGATTTTTGCTTGAGTGATTTTGATGTATGATAATGCTTGTTTGGGTAAGTGAAAGAGATAGTTTATTTTTTGACATTTTTCATATTAAGATGCCTATAGGAGATTTAGGTGGAATTTTCTCTTAGGCTCTTGGATTATTTGGGCCTAAATATGTGGAAGCCTTTAGCATAAAGGTGGTAGTTGCAGCCATGAAAGTGGGAATGTTACCAGAGAGAAAGGAAGAAAGGAAGGGACAGGAACAAATTCCTGGGAAACATTGACATTTAGAGAGCAGGCAAAAGAAAAGGACCAAAAAAGAACAGAGAAAAACTAGTCAGAGAAATAGTGGGAAAACCAAGAGAGAGTGAGGTCTTGGAAGCTGAGGGAGAGGCTAGTGACCCAGGGGTCCTCAAACTTTTTAAAGAGGGGGCCAGTTCACTGTCCCTCAGACCATTGGAGAGCGCGCACTGTGGGGCCGGGACAAGTAGGCTGCTAAGGAGGACAGGCAGCAGCAGCAAAAACACTCTGAAGGCTGGATAACTGTGCTAGGCGGGCCGCATGTGGCCCTCGGGCCATAGTTTGAGGACGCCTGGCAAGTGCTCAGCTGAACCAGATGCTACGGAGAGGTCAAGCGAGGTGAAGCCTAGAGAGCCTGCTGGAGTGCACAACTAGTACTTCATTTACAGGGACACTGAAGATCGAGGGGTGCTATTTGGGTTTTGTACATATTAAGAGAGATCTGAATGTGTTTGCAGTCGTTGGGGGAAGGAGCCAGTCGAGAAACAGAATGAAAGCACGGCAGAGTTCATAGATGATGGAGAAACGCACCTGAGGAAACAAGGGGCTATGTCAAGACCAAGGGTAGAGACTGACCTTGGAGAGAGGGGACACCTATTCCTATAGCACCAGAGGACAGGAAGAGGGTATGAACGCAAATGGATGAGTTTTTACATGGGGGAGGGGGAGATTAGCGGGTAAGGCAGCCAAGGAAGGTTACTCCCACATGGCTTTGGTTTTCTGGCCTCTTGAAGACAAGAGGACCTGGAACTGATGACTCACTAACAGCATTTCTACCTCTGCTGTATTTTTAGAGTCCCAGGTAAACCTCCTCAACAAGATTCTCAAGAACAGTTTGGAAGGGTCTGGGCACAGGTAGGTATGTGGAAGTTGCTTTAGTGACTGTTAAGTATCAAATGAAATTTTGGGAGAGGCCAGTATTCCCTTAGAGAACTGTGAAAGATAAAACCTGTGACAAACCATGACCTGGAATTTTATTCTAGAGCTGTCTCATATATTCCACACACAGCAGCTCTCTGGCAGTGTCAAGAATCACCGTGTCATCTCTCCTGACCAACAGTTTGGGTCTTAGAGCCACTGCAGGCTCCTAATGGCCACCTAGTGAAAGTTTCGGCAGGGCTTGGGGCCTGGAGGTGGCAGTTTTCTCTCCACCTTCCTGCACTAGCCTCATAAGTTGGATATGTTACAAAGGGACAAGACAAAAAAGGCACTTTGGTCAACCCCCAGTAACTCTTAAGAACCCCAAACAATTTCCAGTACAAACTGGAACACAACAAACCAGCCCTAGTTCTGCTTGTTCAGGCAGGAAAATGAGTAAGAGGGTTCCAGACCTTAAAATGTGTCTGACTTGTTTAAAGATGAGCACCAGAGTTTAGGCTAAAGGGAAGGAAGGTTGTGGTTGAAGACCCCAAGCCCAATCCCAGGCTCAAGTTTAGCTGTGGTAACAATAAAACAGAGTGTGATCTAGGAAAATGTTCTATTTGCCAAAGCAGATATGAGGCTGCTGAACTGTCCAATCGGATTCTTGCTTAATGCTTTTTTTTTTTTTTTGAGACAGGGTCTCACTTTGTTGCCCAGGCTAGAGTGGCATCAGCCTGGCTCACAGCAACCTCAAACTCCTGGGCTCAAGCAATCCTGCTGCCTCAGCTTCCCAAGTAGCTGGGACTACAGCCATGCACCACCATGCCTGGCTAATTTTTTGTATATATATTAGTTGGCCAATTAATTTCTTTCTATTTATAGTAGAGACGGGGTCTCACTCTTGCTCAGGTTGGTTTCGAACTCCTGAGCTCAAACAATCCGCCCGCCTCGGCCTCCCAGAGAGCTAGGATTACAGGTGTGAGCCGCCGCGCCCGGCCTTGCTTAATGCTTTGATGACAAGGAAAATAAAATCTCCCATGAAGTACTTGCTAGAATACTGGAAATTATTCTCAACATTTTCATACTTAGTTGGCATAGTTTCTTCAGTGTTTTTAGTTTGGGTAATTTGAGTTTTTTGGGGTTTTTGTTTGTTTGTTTTTTGAGACAGGGTCTTGCTGTGTCACCCAGACTGCAATGCAGTGGTATGATCCTAGCTCACTGCAGCCTCGAACTCCTGGGTGCATCATAATGCCTGGCTAATTTTTAAAAATTTTTTTGTAGAGACCGGGTCCTGCTATATTGTCCAGCCTGGTCTTGAACTCCTGGCCTTAAGCACTCCTCCTGCCTTGGCTCCCAGAGTGCTGAGATTACACGAGTCAGCCACCACACCTGGCCTAATTTGAGACTTAAATTCTCTAGCCCCTTCTAAAACATACCATGACAGTATTCTCAGTAACCAGCTAAGGTGACCAATTATGTATTCTGTTCATATGAATGGCAGCGACATTTAAAATACAGTAACAACTAGAATGGGCACCAGCCAATTGGAACTGAGACTCGGATACATGTGGGTGTGGGAGCAAGAGGCAGGCTGGTTTCTCTGATGGGGGACGGGGCCCCTTTTATTCAAATATCTTGGGACAGGCTAAGTCCGGTAGGCTGGCAGACTGGGGGGGGGGCGGTACCCAGGTACTTGACATCTGGATTATTCTTAGCCATCTATTGTTTAAAATTTTATATTTTAATAAATTGTCTATATATTTAAAAAATACTCTAGGGTAAAAAGAAAGTTTTCTTAATGTTTAGATCTGTAATTTAAGAATTATATATTGTTCTCCTAAATCTTCTTGTACTTATGAGTTTGTGGAATTTAAGACTAAAACCTGCTTTTCTACAAAGTTTCTAGTTAAAAACAACCCAGATTATGAAATTAGGGTATTCTTCTTCCACTTCATAAATACTCCCTCTACTTCTTACACCGTTCCCCCATTCTTACCATCTTCTGTCTTTGTCACTAGTGCACTTGGAAAGGAAGATAACTAGGTACTCTGAGAACTTCACCCTTTTGGCATGATGAATGACTCAGTAACCACCATCGTTTATTCATTTGGTGCATCGAGAGCCAGGCAGTGCACTAAATGCCTTTTATGAATTGTCCCATTTATTCTCCCTAGCAACCCTACGCAGCATGTATATATAGTTACTGTTTTCATCGTACTAATGAGAAACTGAGATCCAGAGAGAGAAGATAACCTGCCCAAGGTCAGAGAGTTCAATGAAGAGCCAGGATTTGAACTGTGGCATCTGACTCTAGAGCCTGCATTCTTAACTACCTCGCCACGGGATGACGTTCTCCACAGACGCCGCACCTGGAGGGTGTACAGAAGAGGAAGCTGAGGTCCAAAGACAGCAGGTTACTATCGAGAGCCCCAAGATGCAGTGCAACACAGGAAATGAGAAGACGGTTCTGGTCCACAGTTCACTGCTCCTGTCATGAACTCTTGAGAGCTCATGTCATACCCTCAGCCAGAGGACGTCAGTTCTGCAGAAGCCTGTACCCTGCAGTGGGTTTCCACGGCATACATTTACCTGCTTCCGGGGCTGGGTGTTCCCCACCTCCTCGATCGCCCTTTGACTCAAAGATGTAATTTTCCTCTTTTCTCTTCTTCCCTGAGGAACTACTATCTGCAGAAAATAAACAGAACATTTATTGAAGGAGCATCAGAAACTTTAGGAAACAGACATAAAAATATAGCCTTATTTTTTTTTTTAATGATGGCTTTAGAGAAAGGACTCACAGGATTTATTTCTGTAATAAACATAGGTTTGTGCTTGATACTAAACAGATAACTAATGTGTCCAATTTAATAAAGCAGAGCATGCGGCCAGTACAAAACCACCAGAGCCGCCACCCGCTCTCCTGGAGGAGGAAGAAAGGACCTCAGGCTAGAAAAGCCAGGGGAGTGTCTAGACATTGCATCATAAAAAATGGTCAAGGAAGGGTTTTCTTTGAAAAATAAACAATGAGCGTACATAAAGCATCTAGATGTGCTATTTTACTTTTTCTCACCACAACCCTGCTTGGCAGATGTGAGCAGCTCAATTTTTTCTACTAATTCCCAGGGATCAGGTTTCCATCCAGGTGGGTCACAGGGCTGGGATTCAAACTCAGAAGTGTCTCACTGCTCGTTGGTGGAAACCAGCACTTCCAATTTAATGACATATTATTTGTTTGTTCAGTTCTAATATGGGGGAGGGGAAAATATTAAGAAAGATCAAATATTAGGATTTTTATCCCCAGGTTCTGATGAGCCATGGCTGTGCCTGTCACTTCCCATCCAGTAATTTACAGCACTGCGTGTTTATCACAATGACAGTGTAACACTTAATGCGTTGGCTGGCGGTGTTACCCTCATGCTGTGTGTGATTTCAAGTGGGATATTTGAATATTATAATGCTCAATGGCAATGAATTAGAAATGACCTACTGACATGAATTTTCTTGAGAAAAAAATTTTTAATGCTTCTTTACTCAACAGAAGTGTTAATAACTTGTGCAACTGAAAGAAGACTAATTAAAGGTAGTATATAAAATTCTTTGGTAGCTTATACTTAGCAATATTCATGAATTACTTACTAAGAATCACAAAGTCAACTGGAGAACGGAACATTGTAAAGTTAGTCTGTATGCCTACCAGAGCCAGAAAGTAACTATTTAAAATGATTATTGCAGTCATGTGTTAATGCTGTTAAACAGAAGGGACAAGAATTACATGTATTTCGTCTGGACATCCTTAACCCTCCTTTTGGCTCACCCTTCATCCTGTGGGTCTCCATATCATGCAGCCCATTTCCCTCATACCCTCTGCAGCATCCCTGATGGCGGCCTCTCTCCTCGCTCCTCCCGGCCTCTGCCTGGGGTCCTCGTCACCTTTGGCTTGAGCTCTACAAGAGCCTCCTCCTGGCCTTTGGTTTCCAGATATTCCACCTGGAGTGTCTGCAAAGTCGCTCACCCACACTCATTCAGCGTATCAGTACTGTGAGGTTAGCTGAGTCTGCTTGTCTTGGCCAAGGCCAGAGCAGGCTCCCGCCATTCTACCGTGCCACATCTTGTTACTCTAAAAGGACCCAGGCCTGCTGGCCTATATACAGCCAATACTTTGGGCTTTCTCCATAAACCTAAGCTCAGACAGAATGAGAAAGATGACCAAAGCATAAGCAATTTCTCGCTGCTGGAGAATCAGATTTACCTTCCAAATTGCTTTCTGCTCCCGTCCACCTCACTGCAGTGGCAGAAGCCCCACTTCCCTCCAGAACAGTGACGGTCGGGAAAGGAAAAGAAGCCAGCGTGACCCTGGTAAAAGAAGGTAGTGACCACCCTGGGGAGAAGGGGACAGAGACAGCCAGCTAACACGTATGGGAGCAAGGTAATTGTTGCCTGGAACTTTGGGACCCATGTCCCAGTGAGATGGGGATGGGGAATACTGAACATAAATGATGTGGCTAGTACATCACTGGGGCCATTGAGAACATGACCTATTGACCACAAGGCAAAACATTTTCTGGTACAGTGATTTGAAGACCTTTGGATTTCATGGCCCAATAAAAATTGAAAATAATTTCTGAGGCCAATTTAGAGTTGTCAGTTTTTATTTTGCCATGGCATTAAAGGAAACAACCGTGTACTAAGACCATCATCCTAAACCCCCAAATTATGAAGGATCTAATTATATGAAAAGGACAGGTCTTTAAATTGAACAAATTTAGCCTTATAAAAAACTTCCGACACTGTCCTTTCTCTCACTTGCCATGAGGGGATGAAAGCTTATGGTTGAGTGCTGGTCCTTCTGCTGGCTAAGGGGCTGGCTGCTCTGAATTCCGTTACTCTCCTTTTTGCCTCAGTCCTGTCCAAGTCCCCTCAGTCAGGGTTTTAAGGATCTAAACCTGGCCTCTATTCCCAACAAGCACCCTGTACTTTGGGCAGCTGGAGTGTCCTGCTTAAGTATTTTCACTCCTGACTCCATTTGCCCATGCAATTAATTAAAACCCTTCTTTCCCACTTATTGAAATTCTTTTTTTTTTTTTTTTTTTTTGAGACAGAGTCTCACTCTGTTGCCCAGGCTAGAGTGAGTGCCATAGCATCAGCCTAGCTCACAGCGACCTCAAACTCCTGGGCTCAAGCGATCCTACTGCCTCAGCCTCCCGAGTAGCTGGGACTAGAGGCATGTGCCACCATGCCCGGCTAATTTTTCTTATATATTAGTTGGCCAATTAATTCTTTCTATTATGGTAGAGACGGGTCTCCCTCTTGCTCAGGCTGGTTTGAACTCCTGACTCGAGCAATCCGCCATCTCAGCCTCCCAGAGTGCTAGGATTACGGGCGTGAGCCACCGTGCCGGCCAGAAATTCTTTACACCCACTCTTCAGAGCACAGCTGTATTTCCATGCCCGTCATGTAGCCAGGGCCGACTACCATTAGGCACCGTGGGTACAGAGCCTGGCCTCCGTGGTGCTGTAGGGGCCACAAAAAATGTTTCCATTTAATTTCTTTTAAAACCACAAGAAAACAATGAATGTAATAATAATGAATAAGTAATAGTGAATTCAGCCTGGATTATCTTCATCTTTATACTGACAGAGCCATAAAATATAATATTTAATTTTCTTTCAATGGAGGAAGGGGCCCACGAAGGCAAAAGTGCCCAGTGCCCACGAGAGTCACAATGCAGCCCTGCAGACAGCAAACTCTACCCCAGTGCTCACGGATCTCTTCCTTCTGAGCTTCTAGTGCCACCTAGGCAGGATCTTAGGGGAGCTGTAGCTGCTTCCTGTCTCTGTAACTAACAGACAATGTCCTTGAGCACACACAAGGCTGGCTGCATGCCTCAGGGCTGGCATTCAACTGCTAAGTTAAATGCTGGCTTCATCACTTACTAGCTATGCGAGCTTGTGTAAGTTCTTAACCTCTCTGTGCACCTCCCTGTCTTCATCTATAAAATGGGGATAATGATTCTAACATCATAACGTGTCCATTATCGCATATTAAGAGCCAAAAGAATGCAGAGTGATGGGCATTCAATGAGTACTCAATGCATAAAAATTATTATTATTATTTTAGAGATGGGGTCTTGCTCTGTTCCCTAGGCTGGAGTGCAGTGGCACCATCATAACTCACTGAAACCTCCAACATCTGGGCTCAGGCAATCCTCATGCCTCAGCCTCCCAAGTGGCTAGGACTACAGGCATGTGCCACCACATCAGGCTAATTTTCCTATTTTTTTTTTTTTGTAGAGACTGGGTCTCACTCTTGCTCAGGCTGGTCTTAAACTTCTGACCTCAAACGAGCCTCCCACCTCAGCCTCCCAAAGTGCTAGGATTATAGGTGTGAGCCACCATGTCTGGCCAAAAATTATTATTATTTTTAATCAGAATATAGTTCAACCAAATTTTCAAATTTGCAGAACATAGCCAGGACAGTGGTCACCAAGGACTTCTCCAGATATCTGGATTTTCTTATACTTGATCCCAAGTAAGGTAGTTCTATAAGATTTTATTATATATGTTTCTGGTTTAGGAAGCTATACTACAAATATTGTAAACAACTGCTGGCATAGGCACCATCTAATACAGAGAAATAATGAAGATCATAAAGCTATTTATTACTTTTTTACTGCTAATAAACAGTCCAGAATGCAATTTTTTTGGCCAGTAAATATTTTGAAAGTTTTTTCAAGGATGTGGTACTGGGTACATATTTAAACACTGCTTTTATGATGCAAATCTCATGGTGTTGATATCCTATTAAAAATCTGAGTATTTTCAATAACATTTTGGAGATTCAATGTAAGCCTTGATTAGGTTATTTTCTTATACACTCCTCGGCTTCAGTGAATGGTTCTGAGTTTTTGCTTGGTAAAGATATGGAAAACATTACTGTGTTTTAGAGTTAATGCTGCCTGATTTTTCCAAGTGCCCATTGCTTATGGATCTCTAAAAGGAACACAATATCAATACCTGTTTTGTGGAGGCAAAACACTTGGTCCCCCTAGCAGCTGCATGCAGAAAACTAGCAGCCCTGACAACAGGCTAGAAATCAAACTACTAAATTACCTAAAAACCACCGTGTAGCACCATTCCATCCCTTTCTTCCTCCCTGTGTCTTACTGCCAGGTCAGCTTAAAAAGGGACTTGTGTGCATTCTGCTTTACCTCTTTCCAGTAATAAATACGGAAGTGATAATATTTGAAATGTGAATTTCTGCTTTTTTACACTTCATGAAAGAATTCACTGTGAATTTCCCAGACTGTCTGATTCACGTTTCCTAGACTTCAGCATATGGAATGCCACAGAGATATGCTTCACCTCCACATACCCAATCACAGGTTCTAACCAGTGAGGCAAATCAGCACAAAACAGAACAACTGCACCACTTGCTATTGCAAATAATCCTTTTTGGCAATGATCCTTCTAGAAGAGTTAATGTCATAGGAAATTATTTTTCCTCTCTTCTGAATGACCTGTTAGGTTTACCATTCGTAGCTACACATTCGCAGAGGGATCGGGCAGCTGGATGAAAGTTGTTCTAATTTCATTTTGAGTCGCCATAGAACATGCAGGCATGTTCTGGAAGGAAGTTGGAAACACCAGCTGGGAAAGTGGCTACCATGTGTGCCTGCATTCCAGAATGTTCTGCAGCTTCCTGTGATCGCCTGCTACACCAGCCCAACAAACACGGACACCAGCATTGTCCTTTCTTGCTGTTCGGTGGTAGATCACACCATACATCTACAAAGTAGATAAGAGGGAGCTTTCTTCTTGGCCCGCATGCCTCATTGTACCAGAAATGTTATTTAGGCCTCATCATAGCCATACAACTCCTCATTGACATTCTCTTTGCTCATTGCAATACCTGTAGGCTTTGGAAAAGCCTCTACAACTTGTCTAAAATTAGCTAAAAAGAATTCTAACTTGGTTCATTTTATCATCCTTTCTCCATTAGGGAGGACAGGATAATAAAAACGTCACTGTTGACAAATATATTTGTATTTGCCTATAGGGTAGTGTTTTGAACCTAACAGAATGTGGGGGCTAGTCAACTAATTTCTAGACAAAATGGACCATGTCATTTGTTTAAAACCAAGTGGCTCCTTGGCAATGACCCACATGTGGGCCAGTTATTACAAAATAGAACTATAAGTAGTTTACTGCATAAAATACCTGTAGATTTCAAGTAATAAAAATCATGTAATCTCCATTACAGTTCCCAAACTTACAGACCGAGACCTTGTAGAAGGTAGAAAACCACCATTTCTAAGTGTCCCAAATAATGGGGTATGTTTAAAGGCATCTGGTCCTTACAGCTAAATGACATTTTCCAAAGAGTAGGTCAACGAAGGAGGATCTACTCTCCTCAAATGATTTCATGGAAATAACCATTTGAGTATCCTCATTTGTGATAAGTGAATTTCCTTTAGCTGGATCTTCCAACCACTTGAGAATCTGTCTGGGTGCTGGCACCATGATGGAGCATGACAGGCTGTTTGGATGTTCTCCCTTGGCACACATCAAGAAATTCAAACTACCTTCCCAGAAATGTAATCTAACAGCTTCTCAGTAAGAAAAGGGACAAACACAATGAAGAAATGAAATGCCCATGAAAAATCTAGGGCATGTGAAAAAAAGCCTTTAAAAATCCTTTATAAGGAAGGATGTCCTCTCTGAATAAAACACGTTCTATAATAACACAAATGTTGAAGTTGCTCCCTTTACTTAGCTCTGGATAAGTGAAATGAAGCTTTGGCATATTTAGCAAGGGAACCTATGAAAATAGAGGCAGAAGACCACACCTCCACATAGAAACCGCGAGTGCTCCTAAATCCACGCTTCCATCCAGCTCCTTAAAGAATCTGGCTGACCTGCTGTGGGAGACATGAACTCTCATTTCCAAACAACAGATTTATTTCATTTGAATGCAGATGCAACACCACTTCTCTAGCACCCTGCAGGGCTGAAAACCAGATTTCTTTCCTCTGGCTAGGTTGGATATAAGAGGATAGCCTTGTTAAAGAATGACTGGGACCACAGAGAACAGGCCCTACAGCTGAAACCATATCCGACAACAATTCACCCATTGTGCCATTACATGCTGAGCAAACTGGAGCAACACTAGGCTTCTGTGCTCCTCCTGGCTGGGGGCTCTGAGTGTACTGAGTATGCATTCACTTGTGTAACCAAAGATTTAACCCATATCCTTCATTTTATCCTTAGTAACAAGTCTGGAATAAATCTCCAAGAGTGGGATAACTGGGTCAAGGCATACACAGTTGTAAGGCTTCAGACACTGCCCTCTGGAAGACCACACCAATTTTATTCCCACCAGAAGTATATGAGATTTCTTTCTCATACACTCTTAGAAATATTATTACACTTTTTCATCTTTGTCAATGTGAAAGATGAAAAGTTGCATCTCATTACTTTGTATACTACATTATTTGTATTAACCTTAATATTTTGTTAACACATCTTCAATGAGCTAAGTCTCACTTATCCTCACCACATGTCTGCAAGAAAGGAGGCAGAAGTACATCTAATTTGTTCATATTCATTGTACCAGCTGATGAGCCTTATAAAACCCAGGCACATGTCATGAAAAATAAGGCACGTTTAAATCTATTCATATTATGCTGGGTCTTTAACTCAGGTGAAGTCGGAGACTGGGGGCTCTAGTCTGGTTGTCTTAAGGACAGCTGCTATCTAAACAGAAACTACATGCTGTGAGGGCTCCCTCTAACATTTTCAAAGTTCTTTTCTTCCCACTTTCTTCATCCCTAGACTTTCAAAAATTATGTTTTTTTCTTTTTTTGACAACATAGAGGAACAAAAAATTATGTTTGTTTGTTTTTTTGTTTTTTTTTTTGAGACAGAGTCTCACTTTGTTGCCCAGGCTAGAGTGAGTGCCGTGGCGTCAGCCTGGCTCACAGCAACCTCAATATCTGGGGCTCAGCGATCCTACTGCCTCAGCCTCCCGAGTAGCTGGGACTACAGGCATGCGCCACCATGCCCGGCTAATTTTTTGTATATATATTTTTAGTTGGTCAATTAATTTATTTCTATTTTTGGTAGAGACGGGGTCTTGCTCAGGCTGGTTTCGAACTCCTGACCTTGAGCAATCTGCCCGCCTCGGCCTCCCAAACTGCTAGGATTACAGGCATGAGCCACCACGCCCGGCAAAAAATTATGTTTTTTGTTGAGTATTTGATAACACATGAAAATGCTCATGAGAAAAATAAAAGTTTTACAAAACTAATATCTTGGCTTTGTTAAAAATGAATAAATATGCATGTGTAGTATGTGTAGAATTAAAAGTAACCAGAAGAAAATGCAACAAAATCTTAATGGTCAGTTTTGCTAGATGATTTTACTTTTCTTCTTTGTATTTTTTGTATTTTATGACATTTCTACAGTAATATTTAGAAAAATCCTCAATATGCTATAAATGATAACTGGACATCTGATCGCTCTGCATCTGTGAAATGCCATTCTTTACATCTTGATAGCCACAGCCAAAGGCTTATTATTATCAAACAGGACAAACACAGGGATTGCAAATGCATTGGAAATTGGGTGCCAACTCCCATCAGCTGCTGGTGGCAGCCTGGAGCATTATTTTCAAAAGAATTCTAAGGCTGAGTCCACACTCCCCGGGGGGACAAGTGCTGTGATGACTGAGAGACACCTAGCACAGGTAGGGACTGATGGGGTGGAGTATTAGGTCAGGCTATTTGTCATTCCTGAATCAGACTCAGGGCTGGAAGGTACCTTGGAGGTCATCTGGTTGGTGTCCCTTATTAACAGATGAGGAAACTGAGGTCCAGAGATGTGAAGCAACTTACTAGAAGTTCTAAAGGCAGAACCAAGACTAGAACCTAATTAAAGTTCTCTACTCTACCCTCAGCTAATTTGTTCATGCTGGTGTGGGCCTCTTTGCCACAGTGACGTAGCAAGAATTCATCCATCCTCTGAGAGCACAGTTCTCTCTGTCAATGCTTCACCCCTTCAGAAGTCCTGCCAAAGACACCTGGTCCTCCCTGACTCTGCTGCTTCTTTGTTTTTTTGAGACAGAGTCTCGCTTTGTCGCCCAGGCTAGACTGAGTGCCGTGGCATCAGCCTAGCTCACAGCAACCTCAAATTCCTGGGCTCAACAATCCTTCTGCCTCAGCCTCCCGAGTAGCTGGGACTACAGGCATGCACCACCATGCCCAGCTAATTTTTTCTATACATATTAGTTGGCCAATTAATTTCTTTCTATTTATAGTAGAGACGGGGGTCTCACTCTTGCTCAGGCTGGTTTCGAACTCCTGACCTCAAGCAATCCGCCCATCTCAGCCTCCCAGAGTGCTAGGATTACAGGCGTGAGCCACCGGGCCTGGCCCTAACTCTGCTTTTTAGGTGGTGGTTGTCTTCTCCATACAAACCTTCTACATGGAGAAAACCCCCTAAACCAAATCCCAAGGCTTGGATGTAGTGACTGATCCGCCCAGTAGGTGGCAGTTCCATCAAAGAATTGACCAAAGCAGGCGTCTGAAGTAGCCTTAACCCAAACTGTCAAAAAGAAAAGCCACTGATAGAATTCAGAGTTTTGCAGACATATTTGTATGGAGGCACTTAAGACCTACAAAGTAAATGAGGTAACAAAATTAAAGATTGGAAGAAAATATACCAAAAGATTAAAATTGGTTTTCAATAAAGGGTGATAGTCTAAGTCATTTTCCTTTTTTAATTATTTTGGATCTTCCATCTTATATAATAAACAAAAATGTTTCACAATAAAAGTTATTAAAATAGTGACAGATGATTTCAATAAAGTGTGTGTGGAGTTGGAGTACCGAAAAGACATCTACAAAAGCATTTGGAAATGTGAGATAATCTATATTTCTATCTCGTATGTCACATAATCGTGCAAATATTAGCATGTAAAAAAGAAATTTTAAATGATGGAATGCTGTAATACTTTATAGTGTGAATGTGTTTTAAAGTCTTATTAGCCTTATTTAAAAACAGAAAATGACATACTCAGTTAAATGGTACACATAACATGAATTACGGGCACGTGCAACCATTTCGAGATGCCATATCTTTACATTCCCTTCCTTCACCCTTATGTTCACTTGCTTAGGGTGAAGAGGACTTACATAAATACACAGATTTTATGCTGTTTCAAAATAATCTAAAATTTAACACTTAGAGAATTGGTTTCCTTAGCTAAGTGTTAAAACTAACTTCCTAACTCTCACAAGTAAATGCATTATTACCTCTGGAGTATGTGCATATGTATGAATGCATTTAGTAAGTGTCCCTTATTCTACATTAGCACACATATCAGGGGTTTTATTTCTATTTTGGCCAAATTCTTAATTTTAACTCTCTTCTTTCTTTTAAGATATTTCCTTAACACTTTTCAAATATAAACTTAATTGTAAGCCATGTTTAGCTACAGAAAACAAGGCTCTTCGTGGAGAACCTGACCCAAGTCCTCACCTGGCATCACAGGAATTACTTGACTTGCTGGTCCCCAAAAGGCAGAATGATTCCTCTTCTCTGTGTTCGATAATGCGGGTGGCTGGTTTGGGGCAGTGGCTTTCTGGGACTTTTCCAATAAGGAGTCCCCCTCTGCCTCTTCACTCAGCCCTGTGGTTCTCGGCTGGGCAGGACTCGTGGCCGTGTGGGTCACCGTCTTTCGGTCAAGGCCCACTGAAGCACGGAAGAGCTACTGTTAGTTGCTGGATTTCTTTTCTGAACTTTAAAACCACTGTATTTGCAGTCGATTCAACGTCATGGCTATTTGGGAATAATAACCCACCCATCTAAGACACGTCAGAGGCCCATAAAAAACTATTCTCTCTAGTTTTCAGATAGGTAATCTGTTGTCTGTTCTTCCAATAATTAGCTTTCCAAGTATCACCCAAAAAGAAATGGACAAGAAAAAAACCTAAAGTTTTGAGACTCTTCATCCTTCCTCAAAGCGGTACTTCATTAAACTTTTGGCAGCTCTTCTTCCTTGGGTTGCATTTTTATGTGTGTGACATTGTAAGAATTACAGCTTAGACTTAGCCACACCCTAGGGAGTCATAACATTTTCTTAAAAAGTTATCAAACAAAATTATCAAAACAAAACATTCATTCACTTCAGTTTTTAGAAGCATATGTTAGACACATTTCTAGGATGGAAAGAATCTTTGGAAAATTGAAAAAAAAAATTTTACAACATTACGATCCTGAACATTAGACATTTGCAACTCAGCCTGGAGACCTGTAGTGACTTCTCAATTAAGGCATAGCTTTCCACATAAAGTTATACCTACGGCCAGGCGGAGGAACAACACCGAGTTTGCATTTTATTCTGAGAACACAGACCTCCCTACTCCATCGCCTCCAGCCCCTGCCTGACAAGGCGACCACTACTCACGATTTTGGCAGAAGTCTTCATCAGACCCATCGGGACACTGCGGCACTCCATCGCAAGCCAGGGTGATGTCAATGCAGCAGCCGTTGTCACAGAAGAAGTGGTAGCGCGAGCAAACCTGCAAACACCCTGTTTGTGAACAAGTCTTGAGTCAAAGGAGTGCAGGGAAAGTTAAGACTCATCAAGATAAACAGAGACTGCTGGGATGATAAGATGCATTTGGGTAAAGAGATGCAGATAACAAGGAAAACTGAACAGTTTGAGCTCAGGTTCTGGAGAGGCTGGAGGGCTCTTCTTGAGCCCCCCAGCTTAATTCTCAGGCCTCCCCAGGGGCTCTTCTCCAAGCCACATTGAGTAAGAGGTGGGAGCCCAGAAGCAGCAGCTTTGGTTTTCTCCACCCACTCCCTCCTCCTCTCTCCGTTGTCCCACTCTGCACTCATCATTGCTGGGTGCTCTTCCTCTGGCATTTATTGGTGTTACCATTCCACCCCCACCAATGGCCTTTGGCTGGCCATCTCTTATCAGAGACACCATTTTACATATGCTATGTCTTGCACTACTCTTGTTTCCTAAGAAATCATTTTCACCAAGATTAACTTTCTACTACTGAATCCTATTTGTTGACTACCATAATTCCTGCTGCTGGAGAGAATACAGAGCATCTTTAGCTGCTGGCTGGCCTGAATTCCTTTTCATGCAGTGATGGCATTTCCTCCCCTTTGGAGCTCTTAGGAGATTTTATTTAATTTGCAGTGCAGTTCATAGGAGCTACAGATAGCTTCTTGAAAGGCATTTTCCCTTCCCCTTGATTAAACCAACTTTATTAGACTTGGCTCCACAAGAATGGGGTCACAGTCTGGTACTGGCAACACAGACTAAAAGGTATCAGGCTAGAAGTAGGTCCCAAGCAGCTCCACAACTTTACAGGGACAGAATGGACTAGAGAATTCACTTAGGAACATGCGACAGTGGCAAATTAGATGATATTCCACCAAGAACAAAAGTCTGAGCTGTCCACACATCCGAGTGAAAACCTGGATACATATTTTATTGGAAAGCAGTTAAATCAATAGGGTTGGAAAAGGAGTCCTTGTGGATGCAAGGCCATTCGAAGGTATCTTGAGCCAGGAGGAAAATGGGGCAAAAAAAAAAAAAGAAAGAAATGGTGGTAGAGACTCTTGAGGAAGAAGGGGAGCTATGGCTAGTGACTGCAAAGCTCTGTGAGACTGTAAGCTACAGGAGAACAAGGACCATCCCCACTGAGTGCACCCCCGCCAATGCCTAGCAAGCTTCCTGCACACTGCAGATGCTAACGAAATCTCTGCCAACTAACTCGATCTACAAGTTTAACACATCTCAGCACCTCTCCAGAACGAATTGTGAGGGCGTTTCCCTCTGCAACGCCGCAATATCTTTAGTGCTGCCAAGTCCACATATGGCTATTTTAAAATATTTGATGAGCTAATCTTAGAAACGTAGATGTTTGGGAAAGCAAGAAACATAGATGAATGAAACAATAAGTTTCACATTGTGCAACAGAATGTGAGAAACATCACATATATTTAAAATTATTAGTATATCTATGTGTCTGTTTAAATGTTATGAAATTTTTTAAGTGGTGCTTTTAAATTGACATGTGTACTTTGCATATTTTAATTGGTTTTATTTATTTTAATGTTTTTGCAGAGATAGGGTCTCACTATGGCCCAAGCTGGTCTTGAACTCCTGGCCTCAAGTGATCCTCTTGCCTCGGCCTTCCAAAGCGATAGGATCATAGGTGAGAGCCACCACAACTGGCCAAAAATCTACTCTTACAGCAATTTTGAAATAGACAATGACTATAGCATTAACTGTAGTCACCATGCTGTGCAATAGGTCACCAGAACCTATTCCTCCTGTCTCCCTAAAACTCTGTACCCTTTGACCAACGTCTCCCCTTTCCCCTTCCATGCCCCCACCGCTAGTAACCACCGTTCTACTCTCTACTTCTGTGAATTTGACTGTTTTTACTGCGGTCCTTAGCTGCATTCTTTGAAAACACGTATCAAACAGAGCACCCATCTTTAAACAAAATCTCCTCCTGGGAAAGCCAGACGATTATCTTTTATGAAGGCAAGTCCCAAAAAGATGGACTGTCCACAGAGCTCAGTAACTCACACAGTCTATTCTCATCCTGTGGGATCTCCCTCCACCCCCACACGGCCGTGTCAACCTAACCCCGAATACAATGGAACCTGTTTTTGTTGTTGTCTTATTATTAAAGACTCTCTCATTCAACAACACCCAAAAAGAAAACAGAAGAGCCTGTGGTATGCAGAGCTAGAAAATAAAATGCCAATCCAACACCAACCTGCCAGGATGGGGTGAGCTAGGGTGGCACCTAGGGTTCCAGCTGGCTGCTGAGACGGCGTGGGAAGGACTTTCTCTTACCTCCCGTGGAGTAATCTGTGGTAAGCACCGTCACAGACACGTTGTCAGAGCTTCTCTGCCCGGCAGTGTCGGTCACGGTCAGCTGGAAGGTGTACGTTCCTTTCTGTAGGTGGGACAGCTTCAGGGTCCCTGATTGAGGCACCTGACACACAGATGGGACACATCATGTCTAGTGAGCAGATATGAGCACGGAGGCTGCTAAATCACACACCATTTTGGCAGCTTGGCCCCACCTTGAATTCGCCACTTCCAATCGCCCTCCACACACCTCCACACTTCTTACCTAGTCCCTTTCTTCCCAGCACGTGGCCGCACAGACTTCAAGGATAAAATGCACCACCCATCTCTCCCTGGTAACAAACCTGTACCAACGTGACTTCCTCCTGAACGTTAAGTCACTTCTTTCGGCAGCCCTAAGGGAGGAGCTGTCCCTCTAGCATCCCCACCACCCCTCTCCTTCTAGCCCTGAGCCGTTCTTCCTACAACTTCTAGAACACTGACCCATCAACTCATTTCTCTTTAGAATGCCTCTGCTATCACTATGCTCAAGCTTCTCTCATCCTAAAAAACAAATTAACAGGCCGGGTATGGTGGCTCACGCCTGTAATCCCAGCACTCTGGGAGGCTGAGGTGGGCGGATCGCTTGAGTTCAGGAGTTTGAGACCAGCCTGAGCAAGAGTGAGACCCCATCTCTACTAAAAATATAAAAAAATTAATTGGCCAACTGAAAATATATAGAAAAAATTAGCCAGGCATGGTGGCACATGCCTGTAGTCCCAGCGACTCAGGAGGCTGCAGCAGAAGGATTGCTTGAGCCCAGGAATTCAAGGTTCCTGTGAGCTAGGCTGACGCCATGGCACTCTAAGCCCGGGCAACAGAGCGAGACTCTGTCTCCAAAAAAAGCCAAAAAACAAAACCAAATTAACAAAACAACAAATAAATGTTTCTCTTAAGTGCCAAGGCCTCTCCAGCCAAGCTGATTTCTTTTCCATCTCCACCTAACTTCCTGAAGGGAGTGGGGGCAGCCCCACCACTCCCCTGAGACTGTGCAGGCAAAACTCACTCATCCACCTGGCAAAAGTCACCTCATTGTCCAAGACCAACAATACTGATTTGTCATTTTTTTTTTTTTTTTGAGACAGAGTCTCGCTCTGTTGCCCAGGATAGAGTGCCATGGCATCGGCCTAGCTCACAGCAACCTCAAACTCCTGGGCTCAAGCAATCCTCCTGCCTCAGCCTCCCCAGTAGCTGGGACTACAGGCATGCACTACCACTTCTGGCTAATTTTTTCTATATATTTTTAGTTGGCCAATTAATTTCTTTCTATTTTTTCAATAGAAGTGGCGTCTCGCTCTTGCTCAGGCTGGTTTTGAACTTCTGACCTTGAGTGATCCTCCCCCCTCAGTCTCCCAGAGTGCTAGGATTACAGGTGTGAGCCACCACGCCTGGCCACTTATTCGTCTTTTATAAAAAGGATTTTTTAACTGGCCCTCTTACTGCATCTGGCAACGTTGGCCACTCCTGTCTTCTTTGAAACTCCCTGCTTCCGTGGCCTCCCTTGCTGAGTTCCCCCAACCACTCTTTGCAGATGCCCTTGCGGACTTCACTTCTGTTCACTCCCTACCCAGGCCTCCATCCTCATCCTCTGCTGTCCCCACACCACTTGCAGGCAGCTTCCTGACCCTGGCAAGAGCAACAGCTTCCAAGGCCCAATTTTATGTTGTGATTTTGGGAGTCATTCCTGGACACAGCCTTAAGATTGTTTCTTCAGCTCTCCTTATGATTCTGTGAACAGTTTAATATCCTACTGTTTTCTTTTTTTAAATTCCTTTCTGCTTAAATGAACTAGTCTGGATATTGTTCTCTGCAAAGCAGTGCTGACCATTATACATTCTATCACACTGACACATTCATGGACTTTTGAAATTACAGAGGACGGTACTTTATGGTATGGTATTGTAACAATTACCTGCTTGCTTATTTACAAAATCCTAGAATTTAGACTAACTTTGGCTTACAGGATTTGTCAGCATTACATATACTCACCAGCAGAATGCTTTATAATCATTCAGAGGCAAAATAATGAGATACAGTGGTTGTCATATTTTACACTGCTTACTCACCACCCGGAGCTCTTGTTAAGGTATGGATTTCAGGGCCTTAGTCTTAGAGAGTCTGAGTCAGTGAGATCTGGGCCTGCACGCTTGCCAAGCCCACGCAGGTGATCCACTGCTGACAGGATAAGGCAACACTGCTGACATAATAAGGCAACCGGCACTGGCATCCAACAGACCTGGGTTTCAATGCCAGCCCTACCACGTACCAGCTGTGTGACTGTGTACAAGTCGTTTACCCTCTCTAAGCCTCAGTGCTTTCATCTGTAAAATGTAAGTAATAATGGCACCTACCTTATGAGGATCAGCTGAGACACCTCATTAAAAAAGAGCTTAACATAGGGCCTGGCCCATAATAAGTGCTCAAATATATCCACCATCTCCTTTGTCTCCACTGGTTGGTTCTCATCTCCAGCTGACACTGCCCAGTTAGTTTTTATAGACAGGGCAATAAAACCTCAGTAAAGTGACTTTCATTCACTTAGACAGCGACAGAATCGAGGCCTCCAGTTATTAATATAGCAAGGTCTACATTGGCCTACAAGCTGTCCATCACTCTCCCCGCGAAAGCTTTAGGCTGGCAAAGACAGCCACCTGTCCTTGGCTGTTTATCTCAAAGAGATGTTAAGCAGTGTTCACTGCCATGCTGTTTTATCACCTCCAGCCCAACTATACTGAGAGGGTACTAAACAAAGGCCACTTACATGAGTGCTGAAATACTGAGGGTAACAGAGAGAAGAGAGCCAGTGACAGTAGGATGACTTCAAAAGGCCCTAGAGTGAGCAATTGATCCTAGAAATCAGAACACACTGAGATGAAAGTGGCAGTCATTCTGAGAGCCAGTGGGACGATCAGAGAGTAAGGAAGACTTAAAATGAGATAGGAACTGTGGTTTGCGACCTCTTGTGTGTGGCACCTCCTTTCTTTCATATCTCAAATTCAATCACTCAGGAAATCCCACTGTCTCTCCCTTAAAACCTCATCCAGAATCTGACCACTTCTCACCAGTCCATGGTTACCACCCTGCTCTGAGCCCACCCTGTCTCTTGCCTGGGTCACTGTGATGGCCAGGAGATCTGAGCCCTAGTGGGATCAGGGCCCAGTGCCCCCTTTCTCCTGGAAACCTTCCCTCCCACCTCCATCCACAGTGAGGGGAGGGCCCGTTATGACCTCTCCCTATGGCCACAGAGGCGCCAGGGCTGAACCAAGGCACAAGTTTTTTTTTTTTTTTTTTTTGGATCAAGTAGAACTGACCAAGGCACAAGTCTTAAAGCATGGAGCTGCCTAAGTGGCTGTGGCAGCCTCTGACTCTCTCTCTCTGGCTCAGAATCAGGCAGGCCTTGCTGGGTGGCGGCAGTGCAGTAGCTACACCATCATTGGCTGTCTCCTGGGACTTAGGAACACAGGGGAACATGGTTGCAAACAATGAACATACTGGAATGTGGCAGCCTTAGTCGAGTAAGGTGCTTTGGCAGAGCAGCTCTGTCCCAGCTGGTCTGCCTGCAGACAGACAGGAAGCCCTGGAACTGCCTACGGCCCCTCACTGCGGGCACCTACGGCTACGCAGGGACGCAGGGACGTGAGGGGAAGGGGAGACCGCAGGCCTGATTCAGAGCAGGCATCTGCAAGGCGTGTGTGACAGAGAGATGCTGAGTCATGACCAGCTTCTGAGCATGGCCACCAGAGTGAAGCAGAGAGGAAGTTAACACAGATTTAAAGAAAGACCAAGAAAGCCCTGATGTTGGGGCTGGAGGGGCCATCCACAGGGAGATCCACAGGGAGCTCGGGGCCTGTGCCAGAGCCCTCTGCAAGGAGACTGAGTCACTGCACTTCTGGGCATCAAAACTCCGCATGCCTGGGGGCCACTGGGAAGCCTCTTCCTGACGCTGGGGCGGGCAGGACAGAGCGTCCCTGGGCAAAGGGCCAACCCTCCACCTGGACTTCCTACGCTGCCCCTCCTGCCTGCGGGCACCTCCTCTCTGACGCAGGGAACTCCGGATCCAGGTGCAGACCATAGTAATCACCTTCAGTCTCCTGAGTCCACTCAGATTTAGACCTATTCAGATTGAATACCATCTCTTCTGATTCATTTAGCTAACAAAAACTGTCTTTCCTCAAAATCGGGGATTTGGAATACAAAGAACTGTAAGATGGATGCTTTCCCTTCAACAGCCCGGCTGAGCCTTCCAGATATTTTCTCACATTGATATGACATTGGAGAGAGAATTTCAAGCATTTCACAAACATGTTCCAAGTTTCAAGATAAAACAATGTAAATATATATACATGTACACACAACATATTTAATTTGTAACTTGGAGAGAGGCATGATTTACATTTAATCAAACAAGGAGCTTCCAGTCTCTGCCTGAGATCTCTGTTCAGCAGTCACAGGGCCTTTGGTGGTTGGCCTCTGGCTAAATCAATGCGTGACCCAGCCTGCCCTTCTGACTCAACCCTGTTTCTCCAGCTAGGAATTCAGGGGCTGGGAATACATGTTTGAGCTTTACATATATACATATAAATACACACACACACACACACACACACACACACAGAGTAATATACACATACACACTTATCGTTCACTGTATACACCTAATTGCAAAATAAGCAATGTTTATCTATTTTAAAAAATTATGTATAGCAGGTAAGCCAGGGTACAATTGGTTTTGACTTAATAATGAAATTGTTGGTATAAACAATATCCATCCTTTAGTAAGCTTCCTTATGTGTGATATTCTGTAATCACTGCTACAGACTGACTGTGTGCCCCCGACATTCCTATGTTGAAACCCAACGTGATGGTGCTTTGAGGTGGGGCCTTTGAGAGGTGCTTAGGTCATGAGGGTGGAGTGCTCATGAGTAAGATTAGTGCTCTTATAAAGGAGGCCCCAGAGAGCTGCCTTGCCCCTCCTGCCATGGGAGGACACAGTGAGAAGACTGCTGTTTACAAACTTGAAAGTGGGTCCTCAGCTGGTGAGGTATCATACACCTGTAATCCAGCACTTTGGGACGCCAAGATGGGAGGATTGCTTGAGGCCAGGAGTTCGAGACCAGCCTGAACAAGAGCAAGACCCTGTCTCTACTAAAAATGGAAATAGCTGGGCATGGTGGCTCGCACTTATAGTCTCAGCTACTCGGGAGGCTGAGGCAGGAGGATCCTTAAGCCCAGGAGTTTGAGGTTGCAGTGAGCTATGATGATACCACTGCACTCTAGCCTGGATGACAGAGTGAAACCCTGTTTCAGAAAAAAAAAGAAAAAAGAAAGTGGGTCCTCACCAGACACCAAATCTGACTGCATGTTGATTTTGGACTTCCCAACATCCAGAACTATGGGAAATAAATTTCTGTTGAAGTTTATAAGCCACCCAATTATCGTATTTTGTTATAGAAGCCTGAATGGACTAACACAATCATTTAATTCAATAATTTTAAACATCTGATGAATGTAAATCAATCCACTGATTTATGAATTCCAAATCTCCCTGAACATCTTTGTAACTCTGAATCATATTCCAAAATGTCATATTTTATAATCTGATTTCAGATTTGAAGGTATTATGTTTAATAATCATGAAAGCCAGTGTCATTTAATGGGCTGCCTGAAAAATATGTCTTTTTGTACTTAAGAATATATTATAGATTAATATTCAGTCAAGTGGATACAGAATATCCTGTTCAAGGGTGGGAAATATTTAACTTTAAGATCTAGGGGACAGCCTCTTGGTTCTGACCAATCATCCCTTCTTTCTTCATAAATGAAGAAGACAAGTCAGGAAATGAGCTTTCCTTTAAGCTTAGTCCATGCAAAGTGCCTGGTACAGTACTGCACACACACCAGATGCTTAAAAAAAGTTAGCTATTAATTTTGTTGTAATTCTTCTGGCAACATAGTTCCTTTGAGGGTGAGAACCTCATTGATTTTTGTTGCTGTTTTTTTAAATACTTGACTGGGTCACTTGGATGTGGAAGGATAGGTTCTAGAACCAGGTCTTAAATTATGGCAAGACAAAGCAAGGGATGACTCTGTAACCCAGAGCAGAGGGGGGTGGAGAGCCTGTGCAGATAGATGGTGGAGACGGGAGACAAGCGGGGAGAGAGGGGGCTCATGAAGGGGATGGGGTGGGGATCATTAAGTGGCGGGACATTATGAAGCAGCACTTCACTGAAATACCTGTTTTTCATCAGCGATGGGAACATGCATTACCTTCATGTCCACTGACGGGTCACCCTGCAGCAGCGCCCACTCGTACTGGACAATGGCATGGTCATCTGTGCTCTCTCGGCCATCCAACGTCACCCCGTCTGTCGGCAGACGCAAAACCACATCCTGCCCGGCCTTGCTAAGTGGAGGCTCATCCTCGTCTAAGAAAGAAAATAATTCATAAGAGAGATGATTCTCCATTTTTTCTAATTTATGAAGAGAGGTATCTTATTTGCTGAACAGATATGGTTTGGCAAAGAACTGCTAAGAGAATGTATATTAACTGGAAACTATTTTCACTATATCTTCTTTACATAACAAGAAAATAGCAATATATTATGAGGGGTGTGGAGTGTCAGCTGGTAGCAGTAGCTACGACAAAGTCCTGAGTACAAGACAGTGTACTAGGGCCCACCAATATGTAAATCTGAAGAAGTAGTTTTATTTCCTATAGGGGATTTTGTCCACTTGTACTTAAGTTCAAAGTTCTATTAAATGAATTTACCCCCCCCAAAAAAAGACCCTTAAAACAAACCTGAGAAAAACCAAATTCACCTCTAATATGAATTTTCTTTTTTGTTATCATCAAAGGTTTTAACATAAGAGTTCAATGAACATAAAGTGTTCAGTGGATGGGAAATATATTAAATTTGGAAAGTTAAGGCAAGTTCTTGCAGCCATACAAATTAAAGCCTGCATAGAAATTCTCTGGAATCCAGTTTTCATCTAAGAAAATTAAAGAGGTTCATAGCTTCTAATAACTAATTTTTATAACAGAAGCCAACACACTGAATTTCTGTTGTGATGTCCTACAACAACAAAATGAGTCTATATTTACCCTTGATCTACAATGGTACTAAATAATTTAAGGCTAATTATGTTTACTTAAATATTAATACTTTACTGACAGCTGCTTCATTGATGACTGATAGGATAAGCTGCACACAGAACACATTTCTATAAGCATAGCTGCAAAAATGTTAATTGATTTAACATTCTTAGTAAATTCACTCAAATAAATACATATTTTTAAAAAACAGCAATATAACTGAAAAAACTCTACAGGTTCTTGTAATACATCCTTTTTGGTATCCACTATTTCCCTATTCCTCCAGGGCCAAAGCTCTTGTCCAAATGCTGCGTGTCCCTCCTCAACTTACCCTGAATGGTGCTGCTAAGGCACTGCCTCTCCTCCTGCATTGTGACCTATCACTCTCCTCAACCTCAGCAAACTTCCCAGGGCCTGAGATTCCGGGCTTCCTGCAATGCTACCTCAGTTTTTCATGATGCAACAAAGGGTAGTCACTCTTGATGCCCTGCCTCTAGAATGACTCTTCTGGAATGCTAGTATGATTGCCTCATTCTCCTGCTTAGGAAAAACCTTTTGACAGGTTCCTATTATCTTTTGGATGCTGGGGCCCTAACCCTCCAGCCTTATCTTCTCATCCAGTGGGCTGCCCCATGCCTGGCATCAGAGGATTCATGTGAGGGGCATGTGGCTCTAAGAGCAGGGGCTTTTCTCACTGAGAATGCTGCTGCCAGCCACAAAGGGAGGTAACTTTTTTAAAGCATGTTATAAGGAATAAGCACAATTGCTTATTATATGCCATTGCCAAGGGGTACACTGTCTATGGAGAGAAGATAAGCCCCATTTCTCTAGTCATTTAAAATATGAGGACTAGTAACTTTGGTTTAAATAAGCCAAGTGAACAACCCCCTGCCTAAGAAGAAATTTGTTCTTCTGCTTTTTTCCTCCTCTGAGCAAAGACCCAGCATTTGATGTCTTTATTTTGCTTCTCCCAGATAAGGAGCGATGTGACATCTGCAGTATCAGTAAGCCCTTCTCTAGAGTGTTCACTTCCCTTTGTTCTGAAAGGCTCATTGTTTCTACACAATGGTTTATCACTTCATAATTCTGGAAAGCATCCGTAGTTGTCCATTATAGTTTAAAATACTATTTTTAAGTAGACAAACTAAAATATGCCTATGTGATAAATAATGAACAATGAATGTGAAAAAGCAATGAACGTTATTAATAATTTTTTAAAACCCTTAAAGATTTAACCTCAAAGATTTAAGATGGAAGAAGCAGGTAAGGGCTGAAACATCCCACATATTATAAAACTAATTAATCCTGCTTCTCCTGGAAGAAAAAAAAATTATTTTAGTTATTTTTATTCAGGTGAGCTTCAAGAGGACTTCTGAACCTAGTAAAATCTTCATATCCTTTAAATTGATCACTATTTGAAATAACAGAGATAATGTTTCCTCTTCAGTTTCAAGTCTAGGCAAATTATACTGTAAAATGTATTTTAAAATAAGCCAGAGTTTATTTACCCAGAAACAGCCCTTAAAATAAACAAATGACAACAGGAAGAGGAAAGGAGTGTGCTACCATTTAAAAAATGTTTGATTTGCTAATGAAAAATGTAAATATAATTTCAAATTTTTGTCATAAAAATGTAATAAACCTATGTTAAGTACTATGGAAACACTGGTTTCTTTTGAAAACTAAACACACTTAGTAAGATCTGTGGAGGTGAAATGAGACTCCCAACAATTTAGAGCGAGCTTACCAAGGTGGCATTTTATATAGAGAACAATAACGTTGTTAACTAGCCTCATTCAGGACACACTGCTGTGAACAGAGCTCCCGTGGTAAGGAATCCATTCTAGAATCTGGGGCCGTGCTGTGTGGGCACCAGTGATATAGCCCAGACTGAGGAATGGGAAAGGACCCTGAGGTCAGGGTATGGAAGAGGCTTAGACACAGGGGGTCAAAATCCATTGTGTTTTTAATTGCAACATCTTAGAAAAAAATTAATCCGCAAGCCCAATATGATGATCATCATTTTCGGTATATACCGTTCTAGTCTTTCTCCATATGATGCTACTGATAGTGACAGTAGCTGCCATTTATGGGATGATTTCCAGGCACCGTGCTAAGTGCTTTATAGGCACAACACCATTTAACTTTCACAACAAATCTCAGAAGTGGATATTATCATCTGCTTAATACTGATGAGGAAACTAGGCTCAAAGAGGCTAAGTTAGTTGCCTAAGATCATACAAGTGATAGACCTCTCAGCTCAGATATTTCTTTTCTTTCTTTCTTTTTTTTTTTTTTTTTTTGAGACAGAGTCTCGCTTTGTTGCCCAGGCTAGAGTGAGTGCCATGGCATCAGCCTAGCTCACAGCAACCTCAAACTCCTGGGCTTGAGTGATCCTTCTGCCTCAGCCTCCCAAGTAGCTGGGACTACAGGCATGCGCCACCATGCCCGGCTAATTTTTTCTATATATATTAGTTGGTCAATTAATTTCTTTCTATTTTTGGTAGAGACAGGGTCTCGCTCAGGCTGGTTTCGAACTCCTGACCTTGAGCAATCCGCCCGCCTCAGCCTCCCAGAATGCTAGGATCACAGGCATGAGCCACCACGCCCGGCCTCCTTTTGTTTCTTGATATGAAGTTTTTATAAACATGCACATAATCTATCCTGTCCTTTTTGATCCCTTTAATTGATTAGAAAGCTATCTTCCTTCCAGATACCTAATAATAAGTTTATTTTCTTTAAGTTTCCCAATGTATGAAGTAATCTATGGCTTAATTTTTTAAAAAATATTTAATTCTGTTACCAAGGATATGTGCAGAAGGTCAGGAAGTACACAGGAATGGGGAAAAATTATTTAAAGTATATAATTTTTAAATTTTAAAATTTAAGAAAATTTAAAGATATATTTAATTCTTTAATCCATCTAGAGTTTGTGTGTGGTCATAATTCACACTGCCAACTAATTATCTTAATATTATTTATTAACTATAATTGTTTATAATACAAAAGGGAGATGAAAATGTGGGAAACTAAGGTCCTTGGAGAAGGACATTGGTCAGGTACCTGTGGAGGGATTAGCCTTGAACTGGAAGGTGGCTCTTCCCTTTGCACTTGGAGGACCCAGGGAAATGCTGAGGGAGGCCGTGGGTGGCTCTGAAGAGGGAAGAGAAGTCTCCTTAACAGCTTTGATTTTCCCTGACATAGAAGGGGTGGGCTTCCCAAATTCTTCCCAGAGATACTGGGTTTCACGATGAGTATCCAGTGGAAACCACACACGGGTGCTGGGCCTTGAGCTGTTGCAGGTTACATCCCCAGCTCCTCTAGGACGTAGCAGCTCCAGCACCCACCTCTCCCTCCAGCACTCCCTCCTGCTATTCTTCACTTTTACCATGATATCCAGCCCCCAACCTCTCCAGTCACGAGCACAACCCAACCAGAATCCTAGAACAATATCATGTACTTGCATGCCATCTTTATAATTCACAAGGCATGTCTACCCTTGAACCTCACAACGATCTGAGCTGCAAGGCAAGTGGGCACTCAAGCCCCAAGGGGATTAGCAGGGACTTGTGTGTGGGAGAGCCAGGACTCAGATCAGGGCTCAGAACTTCAAGCACCCTACTGTGCTCTACCAATGCTCTGGCAGGCAGTTTCAGTCAATGCAAGACACCTCTCTCCAGTATCCCCTACTTGATCCTGCATTCTCCCACCATCCTCTACACCCACCTGCTCAGTCCCAACCCTGCAGGTCCCTTCTCAGCTTCCTTTCCACAACCCTGTGCTGGGTGACCCCCAGGCAAACTACTTTTTCTCACCAAGCCTTCATATACACCAGAAATTGTAACGGAACCTAAGTCCATGTGCTGTTATGTGGACAAAGTCAGTTCATGCATGTAGAGAGCTTACAACAGCACATAACACCAAACTCAGCAAATCTCTACAGGAACAGAGTGGAGGGGTTCTGCTGTGAGTCTGTGCTATCCCGCCCCACCTGGCCCATAACCACTTTTCCATGATCCTTGTATTCACCTCAAAAGGGCCTGGTCAGGACTCCTCTGTAAGTGCCCTTCTAAACCATTTCACCCTGCTTTAGCCTCTGACTCCACATGCTCACAAGATTCCCCCAAATCAAGAAACAATTCATGGGGGAAAAACTTAGTAGTCCCAGAAACATAAAGAACTTCAACAGGTTAAGCATCTGGGCAGGGGACACACAGGACAATGGGGAAAAAACTTTGCCCTCTATGCAGAGCAGAACAAGGGCACCCCGGAGCCTGAGCTGCACCTTCCATGTTTCCATGCTGCTGGGGGCCTGGGGAAGTCTGAGCATGGCAGTGTTCTCCCAGAAATGAGGACCAGCCCAGAGGTCACCTGTTCTGATCCCTAAACCTCTACAAAACTGAATTTCTAGATGAACTCCCTCCAGAGAAGGGAAGGACAAAGAAGGATGTAGGAAGAAATTGTAACCTAAACTTTTTTTTTTTAAATTTCCATGGGCATATTCTTTCCTTGTTTATTTTCCTTTTGGTTTCCCCTGGGTTGTAGGAAAGCTTCCCTTGGTAATGTCAGTTTCTTCCAGGTGAGTAGTGAGAACAAGGGACTTTCTTTGCTGCTGGGGTATCCCGGTCTGCGTTCAGGCAGGCAGGAGGTGTGTAACAGCAATGACGTGTCTGTGACAGCTGTGAGGCCACGCTCCCGATGCTGGCATGGGTCCAAGTGAAAGCACTGCCTGCTCCTACTTCCTCATAGGGAAAACCACAGAGTCCTTCCAGTGTTCTGCCTCCTTCCCAGTGTCTGTCTCAAGGCTAAACAGTCACAGGTGACCCTTTGATGTCTACATCCCTGACAAGGGTCCCAAGCCTCCTCTCAGGTGAAGGTGGGGGAGGGAGGTAGGGTGCAATGGACACAGATTTCCAGACCCTTCTCAGTGGATCCACAGGTTTTAGGGAATCCACATTTCCAGAGTGGCTAAACTCCTCCCCACCCCCATCTTGCTAATGATATCATTCCTGTTATTATACATCAAACAGCAACAAAGTATGATGAAACACACTGAGCCTCACCACAGTGGACCCAATCAAGGTCGTGTTCCCTCAGTGACATTCATCTCCCACTGCTACAATTTTTTTTGTGCCTCCTGTTAAGTGTCTTGACTCTCATTCAGAGCATCTACAAAAAGTGAAGCCATGGAATTAGCGTGATGTTTAGCTCTTTTTAAGAGACATGTCTTCAACGTTCTTATTGTCAATGAAAATCAAGCCCCTTCTTTTCACTCTATAAAGGGAGCAGTAGTTTCCGTCCCCATTTTTGTCTGATGAAAGCAACTACAGGCATAATCGTAAGAGTCATCGGAGCCACACTAAGCAACCGGGGTGGGTGTTCTGAGCAATGTGGCATTTAATTAGATTTTGCTCTTGCAGTTACTTGACACAAACCATGCCCTATAAAACCCGTGAGAAAATAAACTTTTTTTTCTCTGAACTCTTCTCCTCTTTTAAATCATATTTCCGTGAATCCTCACAGTTCAGCCTCCCTCCCAAGCCTAGAAAAATTCCAGCAGCACCCCACCGTTCCCACTTCTGCCAATCTACTGGGCTTTCTCACCCCTAAGACAGAAATTAGCCTGTCTCAAGGCTAAACAGTCACAGGTGACCCTTTGATGTCTACTTCCCTGGCAAGGGTCCTGAGCCTTATCTCAGGTGGAGATGGGGGAGGGAGGCAGGGTGCAATGGACACGCTCCTTTGGATGCCCGCAGCTAAAATAACTTGGAACCAGCGTGTTTCGTCTCTAACTTGGTGAAGAGGGCCCAGGGATCCCGCCCAGGCGGGTCACCGATACGTCAGGTAAAGTGCAGCCAGCTAACAGGTGCAAGGATAGCCCACCCAAGCGGGGAGGCCCCAGCCCGCCCTTCCATCGCGTGCTTACCCAGCTCGGGCAAGCCGCGGGCAGTGGCCCGGGCGGGATCGCCGGCCTCCAGGCCGCCCCGGCCGCGGTCCCGGGCGCGGCTGAGGCTGTAGCTGCTGTAGCCGCGGTGCAGCGCGAACTTGCAGACGCTGCGGCCGCGCGCCGTGCAGTTGAAGAGGTAGCAGGCGAGCGCGGAGGCCGGGGGCGCGGGCCGCCGGGGCAGCTCCACCACGGCCACGGAGCAGCGCGGCTCGGAGCAGCAGGCCGCCACGCACTGCCGCCAGTCCCGCACGGCCGCCGGCGCCCGCAGGAAGCTGGCGCCCGCCGCGATGGAGTCCTTGGTGCGGATGATGGCGTCCGGCATGGCGCTGAAGCCGCCGCCGCCCTGGCCCGGGCAGTCCTCCTGGGGGCCGCCGCCGGCGCGCAGCTCCAGCTCCAGCTCCTCCTGCGGCCGCTCCTGCTGCAGCTGCCGGCGGAACTCCTCCAGCAGCTGCTCCACGCCCGACAGCTGCGCGTGCAGCTCGGACAGCGGCGCCGCCGGCGGCTCGGCCGCGCGGCCGCTCGGCAGCCACAGGCAGAGCAGCAGCAGCCCGCGCAGCGCCCGGAGGCGCCCCGAGCCCGCGCTCTCCCGGGCGGCGGCGGCCATGGCGGCGGGCAGCAGAGGGCACGAGCCGAGGCCGGCCGGGCGCGGGAGGGAAGCGAAGGCGGCGGCGCGGGCCCTGGGCCCCTCCTGCGCGGCCGCGGCGGGCGCTAGGCCCGGCCTCAGAGCTCAGCGCCTCCGGGAGCCGGCTGCGTCCGCGAGGCCGCGGGCACGGCGGCGCCGGCGGGAACCGCAGCCGCAGGAGGCATAGCTGGCCCGGCCGGCACCGCTCCTCTTCCTGCCCGAGGGCGACGGGCGCCTCCCCGCCCGGCTGCCCCGCGCGCTGGTGGCGGCAGGCCGGCCTCGGCGTATTCAGCACCCGGGGTCTGAACAGCGGCCGCGCCGGGACGAGCCGCAGCGAGCCCCGCCCAGACACGCCTCTCCGTGCGCGGCCCCGCCCCGCGCGCGCGCCGCCACGCCCCCGTTTCCGCGCCTCCGTGAGCGGGCGCGGCGGCGGCCTCGGGGAGCGGGCGAGCAGGGGACGGGTGGGTTCCTGGCAGTGCAGCCCTGGGAACTGCTCTGGGCCCGCAGTCCTGCCCAGCCCCGGCGGGGTTTATGTCTAGGCCCTCAGGCTTTATTTACCTACAGATCTGCTCAGGGCGGCAGCGCCCAGGACCCTGGGCTCTTGTGGGTGGATGGCGGTCGGGGTGGGGGTGGGCAGAGTACATGCTCAACTAGGGAACCGTCAGACACTGTCATCAGTCCTTCCCCTCTTGCGTTTGTTTGTTTCCTCACTGGGTTGCTAAGCTGCTGTGCTTGGATGGCACGAGGGAGGGAACTGTGCTGAAGGATGTTTGGTCAGTGTAACGATGTAGCAATCGGTAGTCAGGTTCACTTAGATTTTCACAAACGTAACTAAAAATCTGGACGCCGACAATCTTGGGAACTTGGTGAGTAATCTCTACAGCCTGTGAAGGAGAGGCTTTCAGCTGTCAGATCATTACAATCTAGGGAGTGTACTTTAAATGACATGAGGCATTAAAAAATGCTCAACTCAGGAGGGTTTATACCTTAGAGTTCTAGCCGTCTGTGAACAGCTTCTGCCTCTTGCTTATTTCTGAGTCAGTTTCTGTTGATTCATTTTTCTCCTGATTATGGATCACATTTTGTTACTTTTTAGCAAGTCCCCACATTTTTGCCTGGATCCTGCACATTGTGAGTGGATCAGTGTAAGTGTCTGTCTTTTTTAGAAGTGGAAGAAGACTAAATACTTGGATATAGGAAAATAGCACTCTCCGCTATGTTTTTTTTCAGAGCTGACACTTAGGAACCCACTGCGTGCAGGTCAAGAAAAGAGTAGGAGATAAAATAAGAAGGTAAAAATAGATAAGAAAAAGAAAAGAAAAGAAACTGAATTTTACTTGCCATTCCATGAAAGGGAGAAATCATGAAGTTTTTGAGAGTGTGTATTTGAGTGACTTTCAGACTGAAAGAAATGGTTTCTTAGCCCTGAAGGGTATCTGGACTGTACTACTTTGGGCTGGAGATTCTTCTACCTACGGGATATTTATTAGTCCACACACCCACACAACTGTAGCCACTTTAGGATGCCCTTGAAGCAATATAAAGATTTTTTTGCAATAGGCTTTGGAGAACATGTACATGCTGGTTATGAGGAGAAGCTTCACTAGTGATAAAAAATGGCCTCTGAGGGTATCAGCAAACCTTCTAAAGACTACCTGTTATAATAGTTACTAAAATTAAAATAAGCATGCATGGCCGGGCGCGGTGGCTCACACCTGTAATCCTAGCACTCTGGGAGGCCGAGGTGGGCGGATTGCTCAAGGTCAGGAGTTCAAAACCAGCCTGAGCAAGAGTGAGACCCCGTCTCTACTATAAATAGAAACAAATTAATTGGCCAACTAATATGTATAGAAAAAATTAGCTGGGCATGGTGGCGCATGCCTGTAGTCCCAGCTACTCGGGAGGCTGAGGCAAGAGGATTGCTTGAGCCCAGGAGTTTGAGGTTGCTGTGAGCTAGGCTGATGCCATGGCACTGTAGCTTGGGCAACAAAGCGAGACTCTGTCTCAAAAAAAAAAAAATAAGCATGCATGGTAATATGTAATATTAGCTAACAATTGTTTGATTTCAAAGTTTGCTGAACACTTCCACATACGTGATTTCATGTGGCCATCACAAAGATTTGCAGATGGACACGTGGCTCTCACTGCTGCGCTCTGGACTGAAAGAGAAGTCAGTACAGAATGAGATTGAGCTCATATGTCCCATGGGGGAGGGAGCGAGGAGGGGATGGCATTTCTCAGGAGCATTCATTTCCAAATTTCTCCAGCACCACCAAAGATTTTCCCACCTCTAGAAGTCCACAATAGGGTCTTTTTTTGAGAGACGTGGAAATGACTTAAGTTGTGTTCCATTAACAGCGATTATTTCTGGGGTGGGAGATGGGGGTACTGAAGGGAAATATTCACTTTTACTTTATAAGACCTGATATCTGTTGATTTTTCTACAATGAGCTTATTGTAAACCAATTTTTATTTTTTCAAAATAAGCTCTGACATCTGCTTCTGCCATGATGGAACAACAGGGATTGGACTTAACCCTGCAACCTGAAAGAAAAATCAAGGGGGAAAAATGTATGAACAATGGTTTTCAGACACCGGAGTTCTCAGGACCTGAGCCAGGCTCTCCCGCCTGCAGCCTTCTTTGTCCTTCAGAAAAGAAACAAGCGTTTGTTTTAGATTCTGGGAAAATGCTGGGTCAGACCATTTCAGACAAACACCCTGCCTCTTAGCTCCCGATCTGAGACACTCCCTGTTTACCGTTCTGCCCTGTCATTTAGTTTGGTCAATCTTATCTCTCCTCCACCTCAACAGAAGCAATGCCAAGGAATACCAAAGATGACTCAAAGCCCTTTTGTCTCTTAGGTGCTGGTCCTCCCTGTGCCGGGAAGACCCAGGACACACAGTGGGAAGGCTCTCTCCAAAGGCAGAGGGTGAGAGGATATATTTCTTTTCCCTTAAACCCTAACACCCCTTGCCTGGGCCTGCCCTGCATTCCATCTGTTCAGCTCAGCTGTGGGAACCAAAATCCTCCCCCAATTGAGCACAGCCCTACTTCTGCCAGACACGTAGCCCTTCACAGCAGGCTCAGGTAGCCAGGCGTTGATGGCTACCTCCTCTGAATCCCCACAGTTCAGACCCAGTTTCTAAAACTGGTCTTTTGCCTCCCTTCCTGCTCACCAATCCCTTTTGTTGCTGGAAATGGCACCTAAATCCCAACCTGCTTGGTTGAGAGTTAAGCCCTTCTCAGTCACCTTCCACCAGGGGTTAAATTAGACCCAATTGCCTGCAGCTCTGTGGATGGGATCTGATCTGAGCACAGATCTGTCCCTACCCAAGTCTGAGCACATCCATTCCCTGTATTCCTGCTGCTGCCACACCACCTACCACCCCAGCCCCTTCTGCACCAGTGGCCCTTGTCTGACTCAAGCCATTATCTCACCAAGCCTGTTTGGACACTGTAACTTGGTAAGCTTGCTTTTCAATTAGGAGCCCAGGCTTAAAACAGAGACAGACCCGAGTCTTGGTAGGAAGTCTTGGTAGTCTAAAAGGAAGGAATCATCTCTTACATCAGAAACACTGACCCTAACAGAGTCAGATGGAGTAGGTTATTTTTCACATCAGAGCTCAACCTTGGACTCCACAGAGAGCCCCAGGCACTTTGTCTTTAACTCTAGAGCTACCAGCTTTTCTAAGTTGCTATACTTAAATGTTGGAGGTCTGCCTGGGCCAATCTGGGGAAGACTCTATGGGGACAAAGACAGCAATGAAAGAAAGAAAGGAATTCTTAATGTTGGAGCAGTGACAGAGGAAGAAAACTAACTAGTGGAAGAAGTCTGGCATCTAACAGTTCTCTCTCTCCACACTCACACATATCTGATTTTCATCAGAGAAAATATATAATTTAATTCATCACGGAGTCTATTCCTGACAAGAGAGTACAACCAGTTTGCCACCATACCTGGCTAGTTTTTTTTATGCTTTTTCTCTTTAGTTGACTGGCTAATTTTTTTCTATTTTTAGTAGAGACGAGGTCTTGCTCTTGCTCAGGATGGTCTCAAACTCTTGACCTCAAGTGATCCTCTTGCCTTGGCCTCCTAGAGTGCCAGGATTACAGATGTGAGCCACTGTGTCTGGCCCAGTTTGTCAAGATATTAATGAAAACTGAAACCTCTGTTTACATTTTCTAAAAACCATTTTTTGTTGTTGTTGAATGTATTTAATAATATTCCTACAGTAAAGTGCACAATTCTTAAATGGTCAGCTAGATGTATTTGTAAAAATGAAATCCACCTGCATAATTATCCATCAGATCAAGTTACAGATTATTACCCAAGATATCCATTATTCTGATTTCTATTACCAAAAATTCATTTTGTCCATTTTTGAAATTCATGTAAATGGAATCATAGAGTATATGTTCTTTTGCATCTGACTTTTTCCTCTCAATATCCTGTCTATAAGAGTCATTCATTTTTTGTAAGCTTATTCTTGATCAATTTCTATATAGTGTTCTGCTTGTGAATATATTCCACTTTATCCTTTCTATGACATATTACCATGTTACTGATGTTACTAGGTATGTTAATTCACATGTTAACCTGTGGCTCTGTATCTTTGTTTCATGGCACCTAGTGAGCCAGCACAGTTGACTGGTTTCTGCACAACAATAACCTAACTGTACGTGAAAGTTAGTGTGAACATATAAATATATCTCATTGAAACCAAATAAATATATTCCAAACTCATCTTCTTCTTAATTGAATTTTTAGAATACTAGCAGCCCCTCTAATGCCATCTGGTGTGGAGGGAAGTCTGATGGGAAGTGTCAGTAAAAATGGTGGTCCTAATTGACTGTGAGCAAATATCTTACTTTTGCAAACTTTTCAAAATGACCAAGTTGAAACATTGTAAAGGCCCTTTCAAGAGCCATGGAAGGAACTCATGCAAATGAGGCACTTTGAAGTTTGGAAAACACACTTCCAAGTGAGAGCTAATATATTAGATTGGCAGCCAGACTGTCATCAAAGGTCAGTTTTTGCTATCAAGGGTTGGTCTAACATTGTTGCCTTCTCATAGTCCATTGTCCTTTTATGTTGTGTTATGTTCATTATTTGGGATATGTTGATGCACATATGTTACAGGCTTCTTCACCATCTGTGAACTCTTGATGGTATTTGCCCACATCTTAGGAGAATTAGAGGTATCTTCACTTATTTGTAAAATAAATTGTGTGGGTTTATTTACATATGCAGAATGAACAAGTTATCCAATTACTAACTTCATTATAAATTACAAATTTTCCTTATAGGGAGGCTTGGGAGCCCATTGGTAAGTAGCAATGGCTGTGAATCGGGCTGTCCATAGCCAGGGCGACCAGGCTGTGTCTGCTGTCCACAGGCAAAGCGGGAGGAGAAGAGTGCTGTCATTGTAAACATTTCATTTTCAGCCAGTGAGAACTTTAAGTGCAAAAGTTCCATTTCTTAGCACCAGGAGAAAATGGCTGGTATTCATGGAAAAGTGCAACAAACAGGATCCCAGTGAAGGGATAAAACCCTGAGATGTGGAATGTGCAGTTCCATCGTGGCCGCTGGCAGTCTCTAGTTATGTGGAGGCTTCAGTTCCTGGAGGTCTGGACAGCAGTGGCAGGTGCTGGACAAGTGGCAGCCAGAGGGGAGGGTGGGAACCAGGCCAGGCTCACACAGGCTTGGCAGAGCAGCTTCACCTTCAGAAAAGACACAGGTGATGGTTTAGGGGACTGAGGAGACCCTGGGCCAGTTCTCCTGGGCTGTCCCACCCCAGACACTCTCCCTGTCAGAGGGGATTTTTCACTGATACCCCCACACCTGGCATCTGCAGCCTCCACCCATCTCCGCCAACTTTTACAATGGCAGATCAGCCCAGGCCCTGCCCCAGCCCTTGTGACTGGGGACTGAGGCTGCTGAGGGATGGTCCGTGCCCCACTCAGTGCCTCCTCCCTCTCACAGGCTCTCCAGCCCCGGGGCCTGTCCACAGGGAGGGCCTGGCTCCATGGTGTCCTGGCCTTGGGAGGTACTGCAGGCAATCATCCTTCTCTCCCCTTCTCTCAGCCTCTCTTCACCCTGGCAGTGGCACCCACAACCCTAAATGTCACTGTCCCTATCAATCCCTAGTCCAGCTCAGCTGCGACCATGGGATTCCAGCCACAGCTCAGCCCACCTGTCCTCAGAGTCAATTCTGCTCATCCACTGGCTCAGGGGCTGGAGTGTGCAGGAGGCTGGGTGTCAGGGACACAGCCCAGGGCCCAACTGGAATCCTAGGGTCTGGGGGCACTGGCCTGTCCTCAACCTTCCAGCTTAGCTGCTATGTCCTCAGCCATGTCCCATGGAGTGCAGCCCTGAAATCCAGCATTTGGAATTGGGAGTGTCAAGGCCATTGGGGTTCCTCCTCCTGGGATTAGACCCAGTTCTCCTGCTCTCTTCCTTGCAGATAAAACCTCCTTCCCTTTGAAACATCACCTGGAGCCACCAAGGTGCTGCCCTTGCCCATGGTCCTGCTTTCTGCTCGCCACTCAGCATGGCCCGTAGAATACACAGCCTGCTCTGAAACCCCCCTGACACTGCTGCATCCCCCTAGACACTCCAGCATTTAGATGTCCCAAGCCTCGGAGTGGGCCTTCCCTTCCCACTGGCCTGTGACAGTGACAACTAATAGAGCACAGGGTGGCTGGCCCAGGGTACTATTATCAAGTGACAGGAGGTCTCGCTCCCCTGTCTTATTCTGGGATGAGAAGGTCCCATGGAAGGGAGGGTGCAGGGGTGCTCAGGGAGTCCCTTCTGTGTCCTCCCACCTCACCACTGCCCTGCTCCCCTCCCAATCTGCCCACAGCACCTGTCACTCCACGCACTTTCTCAGTATCCACAGTATGGGCCATAGGATGGAGCAGGTGAGGAGCAGAGTGGGGCTGCAGCAGGTGGACCTGGCAGCCTTGGCCTTGACTTGGGCTGTGTCTGGGGCCTCAATGGGTGGTGCTGAAATGGAAACAGGAGAGTGACAGCCCTGGTCCGACCCCCAAATCGGAGGAGTCGCCTCCTCAGCTGTTGCTGCCAAAAGTCCTCCTGCAGCCCAGACATCTGCACCCTCTGCTGTGTGGCAGCCACTAGGCCAGGTCCTGAGCTAGGTTGGGAAGAGGCAGGGATGTGTCCTGTCCTCAGGGAGCTCCCCCACTGCTGAGGGAAGCAAGAGAACCCATGACCCATTTAGCCTTCCCTGGCAGAACAGGAGGGGATGGCTGAGGGTGGAGTAGGAGAGGGTGTCTGGAGCTGGCATTTGAGGAGGTTTGGAAGGATTTCCACAGACAGACCAGGTGAGAAGAAAGGAGAAGTGGTTCTAGCAGGAGGGAACAGTCAGGCCTAAGTCTGGAAACATCATGATGCCCACAGTTTGGAGGCTATTTAGAAAATCAAAATGAATGGACCAAAAGTATGTGCAGTGAGGAAGAGATGTCAGCTGGTGAGAAGAGAAAGGAGGACAGTATATGAGACTAATGTTGTTATCCACCCAAGAAGAACCAACCATGAATGTTCATTTTGTACACACACACACACAGACACACACACACACACACACACACATCCTGGGGTAATTATATATCAGCTCCAGAGATCAACCACGTTTAGTTTTATCACTTACCTGTTAGCTGCAGCATTTTTTCCCAATGCACCAAGAATTTTGTAAGCCATCTCCTACAATCTCCCATTGAGATGTTCTGGAAGAACTTGGTCACATCCTTGTCATTCTCCCACTTCTCTTTCATGGGTCTGGCTCCAGGATGTGCCAGTGTCCACTTTCTATTCTTTGAGTCAAAGCGGAGGACCGTCTGTCCATTGAAGCCAAACTGCCAGGATCCTGTGGTGTGCCCATTGGCTCCACGCTGACAAGACATCCTGACCTCCATGGTGAGAGGATCTGTCCCTAGGGGAAAAAGATAAGATCTGGGCTTGACAAGTCCTATGCCCCCACCCTGTTCCCTTCCCATCTCCTGGACATGCTCTTTCTGACACATCTTGGATTTGCTCCCGGACCTATCAGGTCAGACCAAAATCCCTTCCCCCTTTCTTTACAGGAAAGCAACAAATGCCTGTAACCTACCACAGTGTCTGCTCTCTGCTGCCCTGGGCCATTGTAAACTTACCCCTGAGTGTGTGATTTTCTGGTAGATTGTCAAGCAGTTCCTGTGTGAGGTCCTCCACCACACTGCTCAGTGTTTCTGTCTGTACTTTCCAGGCCTTTGTGCCATTTATTTCCATTCCCAGGGGACCACAGGGTATAACCTTGTTGCCACAGTCATAGTGAAGAAAAGTCTTTTTATCCACCTGGCCTTGAACGTCACACCACCGTGGTGCAGGTCTGAATGTAGGAGTGATGGTGAAGTCATAGGAAAGAGTGTGAGTTTCTGTGGAGGAGAAAGGCAGGTGAGGGCTGTGTGGGGAGAAACGGACCCCCAGATACTGCCCACCCCATTGTGACAGGAAGAAACTCTCTCTGAAGGGCTGGGTGGTTGAGCCAGGATTCCCCTTCCTTGGTTGTCATGTCCACCAGATCAAAGATACAGTTCCTCTCTTGTATGAGGAGAAGGAGGGGGAGGCTGTGCCTGGCAAGACAGCACATGTGCCCAGACATGTCCCAGCTGCCCTCTGCCCACACTGGTCAGCACACGGCCTCGCGGGAAGGTGCCCGCCTGCGGTGGGAGCAGAGGCCTGGGTGCCAGAGCACCTTCAGCAGCAGCCCACGTGGGTGCAGGAGGGAGAGTGGAGGGGCTGCCCTGGGCATGCTGGGCAGGCAGGGTGGGGTGAGGGTGGGGTGCTGGTCACATATGGGGAGTTCACTGTCATGGGTCATGGGCTTTAACACGTTGGCCAAGCCCTGGCGTGATGCTTATCTGCTATGAGGATGCGTTCATGGATCCCTGGACTGAGGCATGGTGCACATGGCATGAAAGAGAAAGTGCAGGACTTGTGTGGCGGGCGGTGGAGGAGGGGATCCAAAGGCTCAGGGCAGTGCACGTGCTGAGTGGCTGGAGTGGGAAACCCAGAACAATGTCCACGGTACTGTGGTGGGTAGGACAGCCCGAGGGACCCTTGCCTACCAAGCACAGAAAGAATGCACGGTGCGAAGGGCCCCGGCCTTGTGAACGAGCTCGGTGGTGCCTGTTGCTGAGGCAGGGTTGGCGCTAGGAGACGCTGCTCCTGAAACGGCCCCAGTAGCAATGAGCTTCAAAAACCTGACATAATCTGAGTGAGGCACTGCACTGTTGGAACCAAGGAGGGTGTAACAACAGACTTGATTAGAGAGCCACAGAGGACCATGCCCACGGCCAACTGGACATGGGGTGCAAGAGGCAGAATAGATGGCAGCCAACCCGGATACTGCCGGATTTACATGGTTACAATGGCAAACACTAAACACAGAATGGATGCTCAGGAGGCTGAAGGCAGCACCTTAGGGAGAAACTGGGCTCCCCTACACAGTTTTCAGAACTGAGGCACTTCTCAGGCCTAGAACCCATGACAGGAGAACCCAGGGTCCCAGGAGGGCCCCTGAAACCCCACAAGGGCAGTGGCTCCTTCAGCCTCCCCACAGAGCCACGTGGGCCTTCCCTCTGGTAGCTGTACTCCAGGAATCACCCAGAGCTTCCTACTGGATGGTGTGTGCTGACCTCCTGCCCAGGGACTGAGGCACCATCCTGGCCCTGTTACTGACAAGGCACCTTTGGGGCAAGGTAATAAATGGACACCTGTCCCAGGTCCTGCTCAGATAGGGAGTCCTGGGTTCATAGACCCACTCAATGAACATTTCACATTCCCCAAGTTTGTACCAGGGACAGACAGCCCTTGTACTTAACATGGTAACTATCTTAGGCTTTGTAGGCCATGTGATCTCTCCTGTAATCACTCAACTCTGCTCTTGTAGCTTGAAAACAGCCTTACACCATACATGAATAAATGAGTGTGGCTGGACTGTCACTAGGGCCATGTGTCCAACGATATTCCAAGATCCTAGAAGCACACGTGGTTGGAAAAGGGACTTTGTGGAGTTCATGGCAATTCCTAATTGGGGAAGCACAACATGGACTCCTAGTGCTCAGCAGCAAGGCCCTCCCACTTGTAGCAGGGAAATGTCGCCACTGAAAGTGGCTCAGGTATGGCTGGGCCCTGAAGAGACAGGGCCCCCAGCCATGGGACACCAGTGACCACACAGCCTTGGAGCTGCCCATCAGGGGAAGGGCTCCTCACCCAACAGGTCACTCGGGAGATAGGCCCAGCAGTGACAAGACACAGGTGATCCTCCTGGGATTGGCAGGAGCAGGGCCAGAAGGAACAAAAGCTGCACCAGCAGGTGTCCCGATGCCCAGGACACCACACTGTTGTCCCAGCACCTCCCCAGGGCTCACACCTGTGGCTGCAGGGAGTGTGGCCTGGCCCATGTGGACCAGGCAGCCACAGCAAAGATGGGAGCAGCAGGTCCCAAACCATAGGACCCTCACTCCCACCTCATCCACCCCACCCAGAAGCCTCAGGCAGAGAAGGACCCACTTCTCACTCTTCACCCTGCAGCTCAGACAGGACACCCTGGGGATGGGACACCAATCCTTGGGACACTGTGTATATCCTGATCTGGGGTCAGCATACTAGGAGAGTGGCCACATCTGGCCCCCACTGTCCGCAGGTTGTCTTTGCCTGCTTTTGCTCTACAGAGGGACTGCACTTGACACAGAGAAAGAACCAACAGCTGCAGAGAGCAAAGCGTCCAGTCCCTTCCCTCTGTGGAAAACCTCCACTGACTCCTGTGTAAGAGGCGACTATTGCGTGTGATCCTGTCGCTCCAGCAGGCAGAATAGGGGGTGAGGGACCCCAGGGCAGACGTGGGTGTCTCTGCTTACCAGCGCCCCCAGGGTCATACTACGGGAAAGGTCCTTCCCATCCCTCCTACTTCAGGTCTGTGGCAGGTTGGCGTGTTTGCTGGGTGTGTCCCTGGCCAAGGGGCGCAAGGTGCCAGTTGGTGGAGGTGTTAGGGCCCCTTCATGGATGGGGAGGTGAGGGAGGCCTGTGGGGGGACAGGGGTTTGAGGTGGGGAGTGAAAGGACGTGGCCTGTGCTTTGGTGCAATGTGTGGGGAAGTGTCTGGAGCCCCTGCCCTGCAGGTGATATCCTGGGGCAAAGCGCAGCAGTAAGTTCAAGGGCACAGAGCCTGGGGTGCTGCAGGGTTAGTGTGGGGGATTTTGTGAGAGCAGAGCAGGGCCTGTGGTTGTCCCAGGGGTGTCTGTGGTCGTGTCTCTGCAGGATCTCCCCCCACCCTGGCGCCTGGTCCTGACCACATTTGGTCTCAGTCCATGGCAGCTCCACCTTCCCAAAGAGTGAGGACAGGTTGGGGGCAGGGGCTTCCCCTAGGATTCCTGCCCTCTCCAGCCCTCTGCCCCTTCCATCCTCTTCCTCCTGCCCCTTCCATCCTTTTCCTCTGGCAAGAGACTTTTTTTTGCCTCTTTCTGTCCCTCTGGGTGCCCGTGGTGAGAAGCAGTGGGTGCTGCACCTGGAACCTGCTGGAGGGAGCCCGCAGGGGACTTCAGGAGCGCGGCAAGGTCGGGGAGCTCTTTCCCCGCCTTCCAGAGCCGGGTCCCTCATTCGTGCAAGGACTCCCTGTCACTCCCCTTCCGTCCAAGGATCTCCATCGTCTTCCCCTCGTCCCAAGGCCCCCACTACTCACCCCAGTTCGCGCCAAGGAAGCCATTTGTCACCCCCACCTGGATCCAAGGCCTCCCCCAACCCGAGTTTGCCCTCAGTCCATTTGGGATCTATCCCCAACTCACCTGCTCGCCCCGCCCAGGCCGAGCCCAGCAGCAGAGGCAGAACCGGCAGCAGAAGTGGAAGTCTGAGGACTGTCAGATTCAACTTGGAGCCCGAGGCCGGTGCCATGGGAGACCCGGGCACTGGAGACCTGGGCAAGAAGAACAGCAGAGACCCCGAAGCAGGAGACTCAGAGGCCGGCAGGCAGTCAGCTGTTTGTAGCCCGAATCCCGGCTGCCAAGTGCAGGCATTTTATAGCCGGGACAGGACTCTTGCCTCAAGATCCGCCCACGGGACTCCTGCCTCATGACACAAGTGAGTCACTTTTACCATTTGTGGGCCCAGGACACTCCAGGGAGTAATTGGTTTAGCCTGAGAAGTGTGATCTGAGGATTCAACCTGAAAGGTACTTTGGCTGAGAAGAATATTTAAATTGGTGAAATTTGAGTAAAGCCAATTGCTCCCCATAATATCATGGGCATGATCCAATTAGTTAAAGTCTCAAAAAAACCTGAAGGACTTGCCTCTGAACAAGAAAGAACTCTCCAGAAGACTGCCTCACATTGCATCTGCACCATCTGCTCTCCTGGGGCTCCGGCCTCCTGGCCCACGCTGCAGAGGTTGGACTTGCCAGCCTCATAGTTGTGGAAGCTCCTTCCTTACACTAAATCTCCCTCTTTCTCTTTCTCTTTCTCTCTCTGCCTCTCTGTCTCTTTGTCTCTCTGTCTCTTTGTCTCTCTCTGTCTGTGTACACACACACACACACACACAGATCCTATGATTCTGTTTCTGTGTACAATCCTGGCCACGACAGGAAGGAAAGGCAGCCTTAACACGAGCTGACACTTGTGCCCACCTTTAAGCATGACTGGCTTTTATCTAGTGGAAAAAGGAACACCTGCTAGGACTGTGACAGAACTGAACGCCTGGAGGCACAAAGGTAGGACCAGGGTGCAGGGCAGGACTGTGACCTTAGGGGACTGGAAAGGAAGAGATCAGGAGGTGAGATGGGACAGGGAGGAGGTGTGGGAAACCACTGTGGCAGTCATGAGTTGCAGGCAGAAAATCCATGGGAACACACACACACACACACACACACACACTCACACACACACATACACTCACATACAGAAACACGCACACGACACAAACACGAACACACTCCCAGGTGAGATAGTTGACCTAATATCAGAGCAGCTGCTGAGCCCTTTGGTGTGACACTATACCCTGCAAGCCCCTGCATCCAAGTGAGGGTCAGGATCTGTCATTTGAATGTCCCCACGGAAGGGCCTGGGGCTGACTGTGCAGGTGATGAGGAGGAGGGAGAAGCTGCCTGAGGACAGGGAACAGAGAGTGAGGAGGAAACACGGCAGAGGACCTGGCATTGTAGGAACAGCAGGACCAGGACTGTATTTATTGAGGTATTTTCCTGTTTACGTCATTTTGTGAAAATTAAGTGTTCCTTAAATTCCCTTGTTTAACTTGTAGAATAACTTTTAAAACAAGCAGAACTTATACAGCAGGTGCACGTGCAGTACAGAGAAGTTCCCTTCCTGACCCCTAGAGAGTAAGCTGTCTTGCTGACCCCTCCCCATCTTGAGTGATGCCACCTGAGCCCTGGGCTTTACTGTGTTTCCCTGCACAGCGGGACACGCTCCTGCCAACCACAGGACCGTCACCCAAACAGATTCCCACCCAGACGTCTCTGCTCAGAGCTGCTCGAGTTTCACCAATTGTCCTAATAATGCCTTTCCCAGCCAAGCATCTGATGCATTTAGGTATTTTGTGTCCTCTTGTTTAGCTGGAGATACAGGTTGTGGTGTTTAATTTGCCCCATTTGTTGATCTGTGAACTTTTTTAAAAATGTGGGACAATCGGGATTTATTTAGTTATTACTATTGTGTGTCAACCAGAACTCATTAATATATTTGAAGGCATTAATATTTTTATCCAGCATTTTGGTTGTTTTATTTTTGCTAGTTCAGACTTTCTACACAGACTGAGAGAGAAACAGAAAGCTTATTCCAACATTACCAAATATATTGTACTTTAGTTGCATATTTTACTGTGGGTGTTTTGCTAAAACATACAGCACCACAGTAAATAACCAGATATCTGTATACCTTCTGGAGTATGTTTGAAAGCCTGGAACTAACTCTATGATTGTTTATATCGGAAAGGGCACATTGTCCACTGAATTGGATGTCGTCAGATTACACATCGGAGGGTCTAGTCAATGTATACTCCTGCCAACAAGGAAGAGAGGTCTAATATTCCATTTGTTGTCCACCATCTGGTTAGACAGATCCACAGATGTGTTAGTATGCTGGGCGTGTAAGGTATACCGCTGCCCTGTATTTTGTGTTATGCTCATTATCTGGGATGTGTTGACACACACATTCCACAGGCTTCTTCACCATCTGTGAACTTCTCATGGCTTTCACCCACATCTTAGCAGACTTAGATGTATTCTTACTTATGTGTAGGAGTTCCTTATATATTCTGAACATGGACCATATCTGTGCATGGGGGAATAAAGTAACTTTTCAAGGTAAGTCCTGCTCTGTAGTGAGGACTCATTCCAGTGGAAGCAGGTGCAGTCAGGGCTGAGGACAAGGGAAGTCATGCTGAGGGGGGACATGTGTAGGGCAAACCCAGAAAACATCACAGTCCCTAAGCACAGAACATGTGTTTGCGTCCAGGGTGTGAGACCTGAAGGCAGACTGCTGCTAAACTACACTGTGTTTCCACAGGAAGTCTCCCAGGGTCACTGGGTTTATTACTGCCTGACATGGAGTACATGAAATTCCATTGACTCTCTACTGTGGCATAAAACAAAATCCCAAAGTCACTGAGATTTGTAGACCATCAAGTACTTTATTTTTAATTTTAGTATATTACAAGGGTACAAATGTTTAGGTCACAAACACTGCCTTTGCCCCACCTGAGTCAGAGCTTCAAGCATGTCCATCCTCCAGACAGTGCACATCGCACCCATTAGGTGTGAATATACCCGTCCCCTCCTCCCCCTCACACCTGCCCGACTCCCAGTGAATGTTACTACTATATGTGCACACAAGGATTGATCAGTTATTACCAATTTGCTGGTGAGTACATGTGGTGCTTGTTTGTCCACTCTTGGGATACTTCACTTAACAGAATGGGTTCCAGCTCTATCCAGGATAATACAAGAGGTACTAGATCACAATTGATCTTCTGGTTGAGTAGAACTCCATGGGATACATATATCACATTTTTTAAATCCACACATGTATTGATGGACACTTGGGTTGTTTCCACATCATTATAAATTATGCTGCTATAAACATTCGAGTGCAGATATCTTTTTTATAGAATGTCTTTTTTTCCTTTGGGTAGATGCCCAGTAATGGGACTGCTGGATCAAATGGTAGTTCCACGTGTAGATCTTTGGAGTATCTCCATATTACTTTCCACAGAGGTTGCACTAGTTTGCAGTCCCACCAGCAGTGTAGGAGTGTTCCTATCTCTCTGCATCCACGCCACCATTTATTGTTTTGGGAATTTTTGATAAAGGCCATTCTCACTGGAGAGAAGTGATAGCTCATTGTGGTTTTGATTTGCATTTCCCTGATGATTAGAGATGTTGAGCATTTTTTCATATGTTTACTGGCCATTAGTCTATCTTCTTTTGAAAAGTTTCTGTTCATGTCCATTACACACTTTTTGATAGGGTTGTTTGATTTTTTTCTTGCTGATTTTCCTGAGTTCTATACAGATTCTAGTTATTAGCCCTTTATCGGATTTGTAACATGCGAATATTTTCTCCCATTCTGTAGACTGTCTGTTTGCTCTCGTGACAGTCTCCTGTGCTGTGGAGAAGCTTATTAGTATAGAGTAATAAATTCCTGAAGGAAACAATCCAATGTTTACCACCAAGAAAAACTGGCTGGTACTTATGAAGAGAATCTCACTACAGTGAGGAAGGAATGTTGAAAGGTAAGACAGGGCAGGATCCCCCTGGCAGTACAACCGTCCAGAAATCCACTGTCTTTCCCACAGGTCATCTCTCTCTCTCTCTGTCTCTCTCTCTCTGTCTCTCTGTCTCACTCTCTCTCTCTGTCTCACTCTCTCTTTCCCCTCTCTCTCTCTGATGCACACATACAGACACACACATGAGACACATGATGGTCTCATCGTGACAGTGGTCACGTCCTTCCCATCCTGTCTACTTACCTCTCACCGCAAGGCTTACAAATCCCAGTGGACAAAGGCTTCTCTACTCCAGTTGGTGCAATCTCACTGCGTGACATTTCTGAAATACCCAGACAGTTACTCATTCTGATATTTCTCCTGTTGCCCTCGGCTCTGCAGTGAACCAACTGAGTTTTATTGGATCAATAGAAAAAAAGTCTGTCCCACAGGGCTGCACTACTGGTCCATCAGGGAGCCTCCATCTGCTTTTGGCCAACACAACATCTTGACCTGGGAGGTGGGAGGACCTGCCCTCATCCCCAAGGAGCTTCTTCGTGCTCTCCACGGACGCCTCATCCTCCATGAGTCTCCTTGTCTTTTGTCTTCTCTCCTGGACAGCCTCCTGCTGTGGTTTCCAGTCTGTGGGTTCCCAAGGTTTCCCAAACTCACCAGGAGCAGAATAGCTCTAGGGAAACCGAAACATTTGAGGGGTGTGTAGTGACATCTGTTGGACAGGACAGGTAGTGCCAGTTCCAGGTATGTTATACTTTCAACATTAGACTAGGCAATATTGTTTTGGATTTCATCCCATTTTTCTTATTTGTGTTTTCAACAGTTGCTGTGACCAAATCAATAAAGTCTGCAGAAATCTGTGTGAAACAGGAAATGGGCATGGCTAAGTCCAATCAGATTTTAGGAACTTAGAATTTGTATATGCCTAACAGGTAGGCAGATCACAGTAGTGAAACTCTTGTCCTTATCTGCATATGAAACAAACATTGTTTTTTGGTTCAATTTCTGTGTGTTATTTGGTGAAATTGCCATTGTATTTCTAGGTTGTATAGATGTATTGTCTGGTCCTAATCACGTAAAACAGAATTTTAAAGTATTTCTTTAGTTTTAGGGGCGTGTTGAAAAAGTCCCTGAGGCAGTAGGCATGCCCTCACCCGTGAGAGTTTGGGAGCTCCGTCCTGTGCACAGTCTAAGGCCCCAGCTCTGCTCTCCAGTCCTGTCCTGTTTAGAATCGGACCAACTAGTGTGAGTTATATGACAAAAGCCACTCCCAGAGTCCTACCCCATGGGTTCTTCTCTCACGCACGCCCTGCTGACTGACTCCCAGCCTGAACCCAGTTT